TCACGAGACCCGCAGCGGAAACAGAAGTGGCAGGACCAACTGCTCAACCCCGGTGCTCTGAATACCCACCTGGCCTGGCAACACCTAGCAACCTACCCTTTTGAGTGCGGGCGAGGGGCCACCACCGGCTGTGAGAAACGAAGAGACACCCAAGGCTCCATTAACTGGCAGCTACCTGGGCTCGGGTCTTTGAATTACTAGCATGGGCGTTGATGCTATTGATTTTTCGGCGATTCTTGCTGCTGCTATCGTTCTTGCCACGAGTGGTATAGAAACCCGAGTAACGATGTTGCTCATCTTGCTAGCCTGCCCCTACTGCTTTCTGATGCACCTGTTGCCATGAAGTCTCCTTGACATTCCCTCACTACTGGGTTCAAGGATTTCTGGAACGCTACAGCATGTGTTGTCTAGCAGTCAGAATGTCCTTTGCATATAGCGGGTTGAGAGCTGCAATGGACTTACTCTTTGGACAAACAGCCGCTCCATCATAGGAAATGCCAGACCTTCAACCCAACCCTCGTCTGTTAACCCTTTTCCCTACAGTCCCAACACCCCACACCCCAACCCGGAGCCTCCAAAACTCCTTCATTAATGGATATACCCTTGAATCATATTAAGGGATCCTATTATAGTTTAGGGTGTATGCCTTCATTAAGGGGTTTTGGAGTCTCTGGGAATATTGGGGTCTTGACAGTTACAAGAGGCTTTGAGTGTCTAGCTTACTATAAGTATGATACTAATACTAAGGAATAGTATTAGTAATGATTCTGGCCCCTGTTTTGCACAGAACCCGAAGCCCAACAATGGGAGCCCCTGACAGCAAATCATAAGATGAAGCCTAGGGGGTCATATTATACAGTTATACCACAATTTTGCAGGGGCCATAAGGAGATACCAGTAGTACTGTGCGGGCCTACATAACTTCCTATACCATTTTGGTGCCTCCTTATTACCAGTATAGTGTAATGGGGCCCAAAACCCTGTTCAAATGATTAAGGCCCCTATACTACAGAACCCTACTATAGATCCCTTTAAGGAACCCTTGAAGGAATCCTTTAAAGGGAACCCTATTCTAATTATTAAGGCCCCTATAATACTTATTTCAACCTCCATAGCATAGCCCCACAGCAGGTTGCCAAGATCCCGGCCGCCGCAGTCGTAGGAGAAGCTCCCAAGCGCCTCAGCCGCGCCGGGGTGCGGAGGCTTTCGGCTTTAGGTTGGGTTTAGGGATTAGGGTTTAGGGTTTGGGGCTTAGGGTTTAGGGTTTAGGGCTTAGGGTTTGGGGTTTAGGGTTTAGGGTTTGGGGCTTAGGGTTTGGGGCTTAGGGTTTGGGGTTTGGGGTTTAGGGTTTAGGGTTTAGGGTTTAGGTTTAGGCTTTTGGGTCTAAAGTCGAGGGTTTACAGGGGAGTAGGGTTCAGGTCTTGGGTGCGGCTTGCAAGACTTACTGTAGGGGCACCAAAGGGCTACTACCCAAAGGCTCCAAAGTAGTTCCTTTTTGGGATTACCTTATCGGATTCTAAATATGAACCCCAAAAAGGAACTACTATGGAGCCTCTAGGTATAGACAGAACCACTATAGCGTAGGAAGTTCTTAGATTAGGGTGTTGGGCTCGGGATCCAGAAGGACTTCCTTTCGGGGGCCTTCATGACAATATAAGGGTTACTAGATGTTACTAGAGCGGTTATTAAAATTTGAAGTGCCCCTGTAGTAGTCACTATAAGGGGTTTTAGGGTTCAGCACTGGTTTCAGTGGCTGGATGGAAAAAAGAAGTTATGGTCTTGGGTTCAAGGATAAGGTCTTCAGCAGGGTATAGGAAAATTTTCCAGGCCCCTATACCATAGAACCCTACTATAGATCCCTTATAGACCCCTTTAATTTCAAATGAGCCTTTAAAGGAACCCCCGCATAGTGTAGGTTTTGGGCTAGGGTTTTTAGGCTGCGGCCGTGCGATTGCGGGGTTGGCTTTCGCCCTAGCGGGCCGACCACGGTGGAAAGTTCAAGCCCAGTAAGGCATCAATAAACGCCCCCAACAAGCCCTGAGCCTGGACCTTAAACCCTAAAGCCCAAAAATCCGAACCTTGCCTTAAACCCTAAACCCCAAGCCGTCCCAAACCCCTAAACCCATGAACCCATAACTAGCCCTGCCGGGTTTGCAGCTGAACCCGCCGGAAAGCCCACGGTGATTGCAGCACCGTCTGCTTGACGCCGCTGCACGACAGAGGCAGACCTGGCGGTTTATAGGGCTCAGGGTTTATGTAAGGGTGTAGGGGATACCGCTTACGGGTTCGAGGATAGGCTGCGATAGTCTTGCCAAGAGGGCCCAGGTAATGTCGGGCCTCAGTGATTACGCTGCTGGGGGTACTGTATATACTTTAAAACCATCGAAAATGCACAAGGGCATGCCCAAGGTTTCAAGGTGATGGGGTTCAAGGGGTTCAACCCAAAATCCTGAAAAATCCTAAGCAAACAGACTACCTTGGGTGTGGGTTCAGGGTTCAGGGTGTAGGGCTTGGGGTTTAGCATTTGGGTTTGGGCTTAAGGGTTTCGGCTCAAGTTTTCGGCCTAATCCCAATTCCTCTTTCCAGATGAAGACTTCAGAAGTTCGGAAAGGATTTAGGGTTTAGGAAGGGGCTTTTAGGGTTGAGGAAAGGGCTTTTAGGGTCTAGGAAGGGGCAGTTAGGGTTTAGGAAGAGCCTTTTAGGGTTCAGGAAAGGGCTTTTAGGGTTTAGGAAGTAGCCTCTACGGTTTAGGAAAGGGCTTTGAGGGTTTAGGCTGCTGATTGGCAAACATGCTCATCGGCCTCGGAGTATAGGGCTCAACGCAATGAACACACTGAAGCCAGTGACAACGCCTGGCTTCGCATAGGCCGTTTTGTCCTCTCGCCCACAAGGCTCCGGGACCTTCCAGCCATACTGAAGGCGAAGCACGCGGAGAGCAAATCTTGAAGCTGCAAAGCTTGACACGCATTGAAGCCCTCGTGCCAGCTGACGCAGCATCCTCGCCGGAAGTCGACGTCGGACTGAAGGGGTCCACACGAGGACCCTCCTCTAGCGCGAAGGGCTTTCAAGCATATCGCCCCAGTCAACCTCGCGCTGAACCCGGCCCATCAAGGCTTCGTAATGCCGCGAGTGGTAGGGCAGTGAGATCTTCTCTCTGTTGCCCTTGGGGTTCCGTCTTTTGTGACGACCCAAGCCATGACATCCAACGCTGCCACCCCGAACTACTGAACAAAAAAGCAGCGTTCTTAGAACATCGGACCTGCAACTTTTACACCCGGAAGACCCCGCCCTACGACATCCCTGCACCCTGAAGCCCCAAACTCCTAAACAGAAACCCCAAGACTCAAACCCCGTAAGCAGAAACCCCAAAACCTTAATTTCCTGCACCCGATCACGCCTAGATTCCCAAAGCATGCAGAGCCCGAATCATCCCTAATACTCATTTTCTCTCCAGAATCCTATCCTACATAACTCCTATCCTAAAACCGAGTACCTAAACAATGGGTCCTTTGGACCCTGGGGGCATCTGCCTGTGATCCGAATTAGGAAGCCTGAAAAGACATTGCCATTATTCCTTGTAGATTCGGTCGGAATAAACAGTCAAATGATTCCTTAGGGTTCGTGGTTATACTTATACTATCCTTCGGGACCAAATGACCCATGTAAGTAGGGGCCCTATACCCTTCTACTATGAACACGCCTGGACCCTTCTCTGAACCCTCTGAGCCCGGCACAGCGCCGTGGTGCAACCTCTGGATTTTGCAGATTGAGAGAACGGTCGGCCCCCCTCCCCAGAATCCCCAGAAAGGGAGGGTTCAAGTTTGAGATTTAGGCTTTGGGGTGGTATGGCTTGATGGTGTGCTGGTGCCTCGAAGCGCTCTTTGAAAGGTTGCACAGAGGTTCTATAAGATTTCATGTCTAACCCAGGATTTAACATACACGCCTGAAGCCGAAAATGCATACAAGAAACACACACGCACACACACACACACACACACACAGACACACATACACACACAACACGTAGGGTTTCTTGAACTCTTCCATATTAAATTTGAGGGTCTAGGACTCTATAGGAGATACACCCAATCCCGAAAGCCTAAGCCCGCACCCTTCTAAACCCTAAGCCCTACATGGGGGTTTCCAATAAGTACTCAAGATGGGTGGATCTTTCTTACAAGGACCCTAAATAAGGTACCGCATGTTTTCGGAAACTCCTACTATAGAGGCCTCAATAACTACAATAGGGTTTTGGGCCCATGATGCTATAATCATAATAAGGAACCCCCAAAACAGCATAGGCAATTATTCCGGCCCCTGTAGTATCCCAAAGTTTCGGAAACTCCCTACAATTGCAGTCCCTGAAGTCTCTGAAGTTGCCACCTCTGTCGGCGAAGAGCTGGAGGTTGCAGAAGCTCCATTCCCTGGTTGAGGGCTTAAGATCCTAATGTAGGGGCCTCAACGGTTAAAATAGGGCTTGGGGGTATATTCTACAAAATTATAGTAAGGAGCCCCCCAAAATAGTATTGGCAATTTTTTCGGCTCCTGCATTAGGGGCTCACTATTTGGAGTTTGTTGTTTGAGGGCTAAAGCTTCATGGGGCTTACGGCCCGGGGTTGAGGGTTTGGGGGAACCCTATACCCTATACTCTAAACCCTAAACTCTACACCCTAGTTTAGGCGTCGTGGCTTCTGGCTCGGGGTTGGGACCCCGGAAACCGTATGCAAGCCTGAGGGGAGCATCTTTGACGCCCGGAGCCCGGAACCCCCCAACTCTGGGCTCTTGCTAAAGAGCCCCACGCTGAGGAGAGCCCAGTATACGCTAGATCTCATGCAAAACACCATAAAAACCCCAGGGAGACCCCATAAATCCCTTGAAGACACTCTAGACTCTAGATAAACCCGGTTACGGCAACTGTGGATTTTCAAAGGCTGTTGAAGACACCTTCCTCTGGCAAAGGTACTTCGATGCGCTTTCAGGAAATTTGCAGAAACACGAACCCTAAACCCTAAACCCTAAACCCTAAACCCTAAACCCTAAACCGCACCGAATCAGGGTTTGGGGCTGAGGCTTCAAGGCTCGAGCGTGTCGAATTGTCCAGGTGGTGAATATTGTCTAGACCCAAGAGTAACCTAGGAATAAAAAGGGTGCCCTTTTTGGTTAAAAGGGGGTTATAAGGGAACCTGAACCCTAAAAAAAGGGAATAAGGGCCTACTCTAGGTCCTAGTTGTTGTCGCTAACCAGTCACTGTGATTGTGACGGATTTGTTGCAAGTCATGCGGCTACTACCGGAACTGTTATGATTCTCCTATCCTGAACTTAGAACTCTAGCAAAAATTACAATTTTAGCTGTTTCTTCGGGATGATAATAACCAAAAAATTAAAAGGTTTCTACGTACCCCTAAGTCTCTAGGTAAGTTTATCTCTGTCGTCTGTCGGGTTCAGGCTTCAGCACAAGGGTTTGGAATGGAAGCACCGGTTCAGAGCCTCGTAGTTTCAAGCCCAGAGACTCCAAAACCCCTTACTTAAGGAATATACCTTAAATAGTATTAGGGATACCTAATATGATGTAAGGCTGTAAGGTATATTCCTTGAGGCATCAAAGGTATCATCAAGGTGATTGGCATGGCGATTCGTCGTAGCAAAAGGAAAAGGTAGCAACGGGGGAGAGTCAAGCGTTTGGGGCGTAAACGAAAGCCATCCTTTTACCAGGATGGTGCTTCCTGCAGGGTTTAGGGTTTAAGGGCTTTAGCCATAAACCCGAAAAGCAGAAAGTGGTTGAGGGCAAATGCTCGGCAATTGAAATGGTTTGCTACAACTTGCTGCTGGTGAGCAACCCCAAACGACACCCCAGAAAACCCTCACCATCTGTTCCTAAGGATCCCAGCATAGGCTGTCCCAACACGGAGCCATATGGGAGTTTCCGAGAATAGGGGACCCTAGTATAGTACCCTAAATAGCAGGATCCTTTATTGTAAGGACCCCACAATAAGGTACCCCTAATTTTCGCAAACTCCCATATGCTTTGGAGCTTGCAGGCTCAGGGATCAAGCAGGCTGCTAGCTTGTCACGGTTCCGAGAGCTTGGTCTTATGGAGATGGCAAAAAGCGCAGGTGCTTCAGAGAAGGACATACAAAGTTCGAACAACAAGGGATTTCCAAACCCCATAAAACTGCAACTTCGGCAATGGCAGGCTAATATTGGCGGCCTCAGAAATTAGAATAGGGTTTTGGGGCCCCTTATACTATAAAATAAGGAACCCCTCAAAACAGAAGAAGTAATTAGTTGGGCCCCTATACTGAGTTACTAGGGGTGCGGCTGCATGTTTGTTGCATTTGCTGCCAACCGCCACCAGTTTGGGTCGCCTCAGGAAGGCTTCTTCTTGGCTGCAGCAGGGAGCTGTTGTAGTGGTTTAGGGTTTAGGGATTTAGGGCTAGTTGTCCAATATCCTAGGGGAGCTAACAGCTAAATATTGGGAATATGTAGGGATTCTAAGATCCCCAAACGGTCAAAGGTCGCCTACGTTACGTATCGGACAGAGCGTGTGTTACCTTCACTTCTCACTATTGCTGCCGCTGCTTCCGGCACGGGAGCACTGGTATTACTACCACACCGCCTACCACTCCCACCACAACAACCTCACTTACTTCGGGGGTCGCTTCAGAAACTGATTCAGGAATCAACGCTACGCGTAGCTTCTGAGAAAGAAAGATGAGCGAGCTGCGACATATAGGAGCCTTAATAATTAGAATAAGATTCTGGGGGCATGTTTCACTATTACTATAAGAAGGAACCCTAGGACTAATGCTGGTAACTATATATAGGCCCCTGTAGGAGTAATTTCGAACATGAAGCCAGCTCGGAGGCTGAAGCCCTGAACCAGAACCACAAATCCACGCGTATTGAGCCCAAAAGTGGATCCAAAAAATAACCCAGCAGCTCCTTTTTGCCCGAGACTTCCTCAAGACTCCGAGCCCAGTAAGCAGCAGACCCTCATGTTGTACTCCCGATGACATGCTTGTCATACTGCAGGATACGCACAAATCCTACTTGTAGCACACTTCCTGTCAACTTTTTAATGACGTGATAGTAGTAACGTTAGTAATTTAGAGTACCCCTAGATCAACCCTGAAAAGAAGTCGTGCCGGGAACCGCGCCGTCGGCTGTCGCTGTGACCAGGTCCGTCCCCAGCAGCAGTCCGGCGCCTGCTACATCGCGAGTACAATGTTTAACAACTGTCGCAGAAGTGAGTGCTCTCCACTCGACTCGCAGACCGCTAACAAGCGACGTCTTCACCTGCACTTGGCAGAAGTCCTGAGCCGCGGTGCTGTACAAGCGGCAGCTTCGTTTTCTTAGACTGTATACTAATCTACTAGAATGCACAATATGACAAACTCTTATATAAATATATGGTATATTCTCCGGAAACATCATATTACATTATAAGAGAAGACCAGAGAGACGGAGTCTCTGGCAACTTGCACGTCCCTCAGGAGTTCACCCACAGCGGCGTTGCTTCTGAGAAGCAAGGAGAGGCTAGGATTCGCACAGGCTGAGTAATTGGTTGAATTCATTTTTAGGTGTAAGCATGATGTTGTGGCCTCGGTCATGCGACTTCTTCTCTAGGCTCTTGCGCAAGGCACTGCGGCCACTAGCGATTCGGTCGACAGTCAGCTGGCTGGAGCACTGGACGAGACTCAAGAGCTCCCCTAAACTCTAAACCCTAAACCTAAAACCCAAAACCCGAACACGAGCTTGTACTTCTCCCTGCCCGTGGAGGCACCGGTGTCCGTGGGGCTGCTCAGCTTCATGTCCGGGTTGTAGGAGAGGTCACGAAACGGTGCCGGGTTTGGGGTTTAGGTTCAAGGTTTAGGGGTGCGGGTCTGACGTTTAGGGTTTAAGGTTTAGTAGGGGGCTTTGCGGGCTTCAAAGATGTAGGGCCACGGAAGTAAAGTGTAAACTTGAGCGCTGGAGGTTTAAAATCAGAGGATCTTATACCCGGATGCCATATTGAACTCATTATGGCTCCTATGTTGGCCCCCAAGCACTCCCCCTAAACCCTGAAACCCTAACCCTAAACTTTTAAACCCTAGAACCCCTTTAAAGCTTCAGTCGCCCAAACCGTTTGGAGCCTCGGTAGTCCAAAGCCGGCAAAATGGAGCCTTAAGGTGGACCGGAATCCTACAGAGCCTAATGTAGGGGCCGGTTTCGGGGCCCCAGAATACTTGAATTATAACAAGGCACCCCCAAAACGGTACAGGGAATTACTGAGGCCCCTATAGTACCTGTTTAGGGTTGAGGGTTTAGGGATTTAGGAGGCTCCTTGAAGCCAAATTGTGCCCGAACCCTAAACCCTAAGCGCTGAACCCCGAACCCTTCGAAATTAGCCACTGCTCAAGGTGGGCTGGAGGAAAATCAAGGCTTTCCAGCGTGGGGTTAAGGGTCGAGTCTAGGGTTCAGGGATTTAGGGGTTAGGCGTCCGGGGTTTGGGGGATATGGGGTGTCGGCGTAGGGCTAAATCGCAGCATCTAGTTCCCGAAACCCGCACCCCTTAACACCCGCTGGCAAACCTGCCAAACATGTGGGCGGCAGCTTCATCGCCCATCTAGGCAACTCAAGCTTGGATTCATTTCTATAGCGTATCGGGTTTGGCCTAGAGTGTGGCTTAGGATTTTAGGGTATCTTATCCTATACTTATGTTGGGACTATCAGGGGACAGTATTATGAAGCGTTCAGGTTCATATCTTAGGGTATAGTATGTATCAGAATTTGTGGCACAAGGCCTAGGGTCGCGAGGGCTGGTTTCAGTCTGGGGTTGCAGCATTTGGGGTCGGGGTTCGAAGAGAGCATAGATACTTAGGGTCTAGGGTTCATGGGCCTCTCGAAAGGTCCATGGGGGAGGGCTTGAGGCGTCCTTAGAGTCGCGCTTCTGGCGTGGACGTTTCTAGATGGACTAACATGCTCGCGGCTCATACTGCCCTCTGAGATTCTGCAAGGCTGCGGTGGGGGACTGCTGAGGGTTTCGAGTTTAGAGTCGGACGGTACTTGGAGGATCATGGGACTTAGTAACTAGGGTTATATAATAAGGTAACTATACTTATCTTATAACTCCACTTAGGGTACTTATAACCTACTTACTAAGTCCCATGATCCTCCAAGTAGTCTCTCATTTCAGAACCCAGTCGCTATCCGTAAGCATCGGAGATTTGGGGCTTCAGGCGATGACGGGTTTCTGGTGAACCCGAAACCCCTCAACCGTAAACCCTGAGGTGCGTTGGGATTTATGGACCTGGGGTTCTCAGCCTCTGCGCCTGGAGTTGAGGAACCAGGTTCGGATGTAAGGAGTGTGTACGTTCCGGCCTGGAGAGATCACCAGAGGAATCAAGTGAATACCGCATTTCCGCATCCGCGCAGCCACATGAAATTCTGCACGCTTCGCATCCAAAGCCCTTGGCCCAAGTCCAGAACCGCTGATGCAAACCTGAACGACCCGGTCCCCGAAGTTCGGCTCAAGGACCTCAACCAAACACTCCCTGAATCGCCGAGCCTACAAGCCCCAAGCCCTACGTCGCAACTGCCGGTCAGTCTTAAATACAGCCTGAACCCACAACCTCGGCACTGTTGACCTGAAACCCCGAGGACTCGAAGTGCTGGGCAACTCCTTTTTCACCCTTGCACAAGGACGGAGAGGATCAGTCCACCACACACAGCGAACGTGCGAGGAAGCGTTTAGAAAGCAGGGCTGCTTTCACAAGCCTAGGATGCACCAGTTTAGAGCCCAAAGAAATGCAGGCTCTTAGGGTTTAGGGCATGCGGAGTTAGGTGGGGTTCGTATGGTCTGGCGCCAGCAAGCTGTTGGTCTTTCAGTGGGATCTCACTGCTCAGGGTTTGGACGGATTCTTGCCCCTTCTGGATACTTCTGGTCTGATATGAGGGAGGCGGCATCCCCATTACACTCTGCTCTCTGTCAGAACTTCTGGTATCAAACTCACCATAGATGCTACCCTGACCGTAACCAGGTCGCAGGGCTTACAGGTGTTCGGGAGGCGGGTTGCGATACCAACGCAGTGCCGGGCCTCGCAGGATTTAGGGCTTAGGGTTTAGGGATTTGGGGGGTTCTGAGGGAGGAACGGACATGGGCACACGAGACAAACTGATGAACAACGACCATGCAGTAATGTGTCAAATCGAAATTCGCCACGCGCGTCCTGGATGATTCAACAGAAGAGTTCCGCAACTTCCTGAACTCTCTACCCAGAACAACCGTCTGACTAACATGATTACGAGAATTTTGCGACTTTCACTGTTCCTATTTGTACTACGCCTAGCATTCCAATTGCTATCACGATTTCTGTTGCTTCTAGGCTACTGCTGCTTCTTCTCGCTGCTTCCTACCAAAGGGGCCTTAATTATCAGAATAGGGTTTTGGGGCATAGTATACTATACTTACGAAAAGGAAGCCCCAAAATGGTATAGGCAAGTATTAAGGCCCCTTTTGTACCCTCTTCGCGCTGTCGCCCCCTTTGGGTGACCGGGCCTTTCCCCAGGCCCAGCAAGGCGCTGCTGAACGAACCTACAGGATACTCTCCCTGTTTTGACTCGAAACGGTCACCTTAAGCCCTAAACTTTGGGGGCCTTCTTGAGTTGAGGGGAGGGGGGGAGCTCGAGAGGCAGCAAGGTTGAGGGTTTAGGGTTTAGGGTTTAGGGTTTAGGGGATTCAGAATTTGGCGCACCCCTTCGATTGAAGGCCTTGAGGCAGTTGCGTTTAACGCTGTGGGGAGTATCCAAGTCATGCATTCTTTCCGGGCTCTCGCCGGACCCCTCGATCGACAATCACTCTGCTTGCCTCAGAAAAATCCGAAGAAGCCCAAAGGGTCCAAGTATCATTATGGGATGTATATTATATATATATATATATATATATATATATATATATATATATATATATATATATATATATATATATATATATATATATATATATATATATATATTATCACTATGGTGTATATATATATATATATATATATATATTATCATTATGGTATGTATATATATATATATACTTAGATCCCCAAAATACCCTATAAGTATACACCAGAATGATACTTGGACCCTTTGGGAAGGATGCCTTCGAAGGCTCGGCGACGAAGCGCATGCCGGGGCCGAGGCCCAAACGTACAGTAAAGCCGCACGCGCTTTGCTCGTCATTGAGGAAACCTTCGCAAGTTGACCCGTATGTGTTTGTGTGTGTGTGTACACATACATACATACATACATACATACATACATACATACATACATACATACATACATACATATATAAGTAAAACATAGTACATACATATACACATACATATATATATATATATACATGTATGCATAGATTCAGGTTCAGGTCGTGCTATTTAAAGGCCTAAAGAGGGCCCGTTCATTCCTGATAGCAGGGCGGCTTACTCTAAGCCTTCCAGGTTTCAGGAGGATAGAGTTCAAGCTTGAGGATTGAAGCTACAACCTGACAAACCTAGCCTCTGTGGTATCTAGGCTTCACGGCGTGTACGTTACGTATACATACAGGTATACATAAAACCAAGAACCTCAATATAAACAGACCACAAGTACTGATGTAAATATGAGTACCAATAACACTTTGGTTTCTATATATATATATATATATATACACAGATGTGTCTATATATATATATATGCCAACATATACCTAAATCATGAACAAACATAAACCAACAGTGCACACAATCTGATCTCGTACCCTGGAACACGACCGTAACATCCTGCACCCACAAACTCTGAACCGCTCTTGATAGAGACCTGCAGAAACTACCCCAGCCCAACTTGATCCTTGAGATGAAAGACCCTGAACCCAAACTTTAGACTCTAGACCCTACCTGGACCCCAAAAGCATGTAGACTAGGTTTTGGGCCATTATTTCACCTACTTTTGGGGGTCTAGGTAAGCCCAAAGGCACCAGCTAAGACTGAAAAATACAAAACCGTCATTAAACCCCAAAGCCTTGCCAGATCTCCACCCTGACCTTGAAGCCTATATAAAGCCAGAAACCCCCTACACCAAGAAAACGCCGTTAATCCCTAAAGCCCTTATAAGTTGTCCGAATAAGAACTAACTAATCCCTACAACACATCCATGAACCCAAAAGATCCACCCACACGCGCACACACAGCACACACGCGCACACGCACGCATCGGAGGGCCTACGCCGACAGGAAGAGCAAGGAGGGACCCTGGCCTCAGATCGGATCCCAGGGGCATGGGACTTACAGTAAAAGCCAGAATGTTGGGATATGAGTCTCCTAAACCCTTTGTGGTAAATTTATAAGGTATCCTATACCCTAAAGCCATATTCCAACTTTCTGGAGTTCCTTTTAGGACTGCAAAAGTCTTTCACATCAATTTTGAGGGCTCAGGGTTGAGGGGCTTCCGGCATCCAGGGGTTTAGGGCTTCCAGGCTTGGGAGCTTCGGTGCCGTAGGGTTCGGTTCTCGGAATTCAAGCTGTCGGAGTTCCAGGTTTCGGTATAGGGTTTGGGGTTTGGGGTTTAGGGGTTAGGGGGGTTTCGGGCATTTTGGCATGATGGTGTGTGCAGGGTGTAGCTGAAGGCTTGGGGTTTGGACTCTTCAGACTTCAATCTTTTGGGGTTTCCGGTTCAAGGCTTCAGCTTGAACGTGGACGCGTCAGCTCCAGGGAAACGCAGGATGAGCCCAAGCCATGGCAATGGACATCTTTGAAACTCCAGTGCTTTCTAAATGTTCTTTCGTACCCGGTCTAGGGGTTCATGGTTTAGGACTTTTGGGCTTGGGGGGGTTTGAGTCTGGGACCTCAGGATGTCGCGTTTCCTGCCCGCGATTGAAATCATTCACACAGCTTGGTACGCACTTCAGGCGCCGGTCACCAAATTGCGCGTATCGCAGGTGGCTCAATTAGAGGACATTGCGTAGTCTCAGCCTCTACCCGTCGAGCCGTGGCGTTCAGGGCTTTGGGTTTGCGGCTTGACCCAGCCGCCCCATCTCTACAAAAATTATACCCAGACAGGTGTCCGATGCACCCGACGAGGGCATAAACCCTGCAGACTCCAGCCCAGCAACTTACCGGTCATCTAAAGGGAAACATCGAAGAATCGGTCGCCTAAGCCTGAAGCAAGAAACCCCAAACGGCCCGGTCTTCAAAAAGGGCTCCGTGAGCTATCCAGAAAACGAAGAACCCCCATCTTCCCATGTTAAGGACTCCGAAAGAAGATACTCCAACCAACCTTCTGAAAGCCCCTTATGGGAGTTTCCGAAAGTAAGAGGTACCTTACTTTGGGGTCCTTATAAAGGATCCTACTAATTAGTTAAGGTATTATATTACGGTCCCCTATGTTCGGAAACCCCCATGTGAAGATGACTGAAGATCACCGAGACCGGACTCTGGGTGTTCCGGTCGCTGCGCCAGGTAGATGTGATCCCCGTCGCGCAAGGCAATGCGCTGCGGGAGGCTAAAGCCTTTCGGCACCTCGTAAAAAGGGGGCTTTCTCTGGTAATTAGCCGAAATTATGATTGAGGTTTATGGCTCTGGGTGACACTCTAAGTCGTTGCAGGCTCAGTTCTTTCGCATGTCTGCTTTGGCAAGAGCAAAGTCTCAGGCCGCGCAGGGCGAAGTCCTAAAGCTTTTTTTCAAAACACAACAAGGCCGCACATTTGGGAGCCTTAAGAATGGGTATGTGGGACCATTATATCGAACTGCATACTTTGTCTAAATGGCCCCATAAGCCCTACGAGGCCTGTAAGCCCTGTACCCTGTACACCCTCTAAGCCTTGTAACCCTAACCCCTAAGTGATGGGAGGCCAGAAGGGGGGTTTAAGATTCTTGGGGTAGGGATTCCTTAGTATGAACCCTATTATGGGAACCCTAATCCCTACTAAACCCCCATAGGCTAAACCCCCTTTTGGCCTCCTATGACGACAGTCGGGTTTCAGGTTTAGGAAAAGCCTGGGAGGCCAAGAACCCCGAGCCTTGACATGCTGCGGCCGAGGGGTTCGGGGTTCAAGGTTTAAGGGTTTAGGGTTGAGGCGGTTTTGGGGGGTTCGGGTCCAGAGGCTTGGATTTTAGAGGTTTATAGGGTTTAGGCGGTTTAGGGTTTAGGGGCTCGGGTTTGGGGTGGCGTTTGGGTTTCGGGGTTTCTCTGCGCAGTGCAGAGATTGATGTTTACAGGGTAGGACCTTTTGGAAACAAGACATCCCTGGCCTGGGTTTCGTTGACAAAGGTGCCGTTGGAGCTGGTATCCTGGCGTCACTCAAGGACAGCCCTTACAGCAAGAATTCCCGCCGCGACGTGAGAGTAACCAATTCAAAGCACGCATAAGTTTTACCACCGCTCCTATTCCTACCGGTAAAGAGCTTAAACAGGAAGATTGGGCACGAGGAGACAGCACAAAGAAGGGCACGAGACTGAAGAAGATTGAGCGGAGCGGCTTGATGCTTCAACTGAGCACGGAGCAACAAACTGCTCGCATCCGTGTGGCGACCAGTGGTGTAGGGTTTCGCGGTTTACGGTTTAGGGCTTGTCAGCGGATTCATACTGTTGGGCACTTGGAGCCATCCAGCTCCGTCACCGAATCTGCTTCAGGCGAGGGAAGGTAGTCGCGGTAGTGCTCGTAGTAGTGGTGGTGGTAGTCGTCGTCGTAGTAGTAGTAGTAATAATAATTGTTGCTGTCGTCATCGTAGTCGCAGTCGCAGTCGCAGCAGCCGGAGCAGAAGAAGGAGCAGGAGCAGGAGCAGGAGCAGGAGGAGCAGCAGCAGGAGTAGTAGTAGTAGTAGTAGTAGTAGTAGTAGTAGTAGTAGTAGTAGTAGTAGTAGTAGTAGTAGTAGTAGTAGTAGTAGTAGTAGTAGTAGTAGTAGTAGTAGTAGTAGCAGTAGCAGTAGCAGTAGCAGTAGCAGTAGCAGTAGCAGTAGCAGTAGCAGTAGTAGTAGCAGTGGTGGTGGTGGTGGTGGTGGTGGTGGTGGTGGTGGTGGCGGTGGTGGTGGTGGCGATTGTGGAGGTCGGGGTAGTGGTAGTAGTGGTTGTCATAGTAGTCGTCGTCGCACCCCCTATGGCCCTATGACGTTTCTTACATGTTGCATGAAACCTCGAGTTGGACGCAGCCATTCTTGCACAGGAGCACGCAATGGCGACCTCGGCAGGTCCAATCGCGCCGGATTTGGGTCGCAGGAGGGCCTTGATAAAGAGAATAAGGTAGCTGGTAACATGAAATATGAGTATAGCTACAACATATTTGTCAAGGAAATAACTCTACTGGCTGGAACCTTTCGTTCAGGAACCCAAAAGAATAGCTGAGTAACTACGATGGTCATTGTTCCACAGGTAATCATTCAGGATTCTGAGGTTCTGCGTTCTGGGTTTAGGATCTAAGGTTTGGGGTCTTTTATTGTTTAAATGTGTGTCGGCCTTCCTGCATTGCCCGCTGGTCACGGCGCGCTCGCAATCCAGATATTACAGGCGTGAGCACACCGCTACCTAGAGACTCCAATATTCCCAGGAATATACCTTAAATTATAGTAGGATCCCTAATATGATTTAAGGTAATTATATTCCTTAATATAGGGATATTGGAGTCTCTGGCTATGCACCAACAAACCTCACCCTGCAACCTCCAGCCGATGCGATGCCCGAGGCCCATGCCACTGACCACCGAACGTGGAATAACAACCTGCGATGACGATGCAAAATTAAAATGAGAACAAGCGCTAGGCTTTTCGGAATTCGGGCTTTGAGGCTTCAGGCTTCTCAGGAGGGTGCTAACAGAAAGAACGACGGCTCTGGCGCAGCCAATCGCGGTTGTCACTTGGGTGTGCCGAGTTGCAGGTGGTTACCACAGGTTCCGGCTCGGCTCATTGTCGCTACATCTTCCGCTATTTAAGCTTCCGCGGATACAAGGATTATGGTGGCAGTGGTGGCGGCAGAAGGGTTGTGGTTATGCGAGGCTTCCGACGTCCGTACATGCCAGTAGAGAGCCGATCTATGTGACGACTTCTGATACTTGGAGGGTCGGGGGACTTAGTAACTGGTTATTTTAAGGACTTATAAGTGCAATAACCCCAATTAGGGTCCCTTTTAGGGTACTTATAAAGTAGCAAGCAAATCTAAGGGCCCAGGTTACCGCTGACACTGAGAACAAGCAATCAGCGCTAATCGTCGAATTCAGGTCTATGACCGACATCCTCGTTGCACAGCAATTGTGGATACTGTGCGAAGTATATGGGTGGTTGTCAAAACTATGGTCCCTTTTTCGGTCCTTATTGTAATACGGCACCTATTGGTTAGGGTACCCAAAAACGGACACTAATTTTGACAACCACCCATGTGGAGCAGTGGAGCATGAGGTCAGTCGTACTGCTGCTTTCTTCTGGAGGCCTCCGAAACCGTATGGGCTACCCCGATATGCCAGCAGAAGCTCAACGCCGCGTGCGGCTTCTTCTGTTTAGGGGCTCCTTGTGTGGAGTTCTCATTCATAATGAGGATCCTACCCACTTTTTGAGGTTAGACTTTCTGGGACCCCTATACAGAGCGCGTAAGGTCTTGAGCTTATGGCGCCAGCGACGCCAAATTCCCTACAGGCGACCGTTTCGGCTGCATCCTCGACTTGAAAAGCTTCGCTTCAGGCGATTATTGAGTGCAGTAGTTCCAAGTCTTCTGTAGGCTTAGGATGCAATGCTTAGGCTTTTGACGTATAAAGTGCATTGGGGGGGTCAAGGATTACCATGCCACAAACCTGCCACCCCGCGTTGAACGGAGGGACCGCCTCTTTGCAGTTAACGGGGATTGCTGCAGGGGTTAGGGGCTTCACGCTTCCAGGTTGCAAGTAGCAAGGGCTTAGTGTTAAGCTGCACTTCTCGAATGCCTTTTCTCCGGTCCAGGCTCGGATTCGAGCTCGGGTTTTGTAGGGTTTAGGGTTTAGGGTCCGCACCGAACTTCCACTTTGCTTATGCGCAGCGCCCTCATGCGTACCTGCCGAAAAGTACACCCAGAACCGTAGCCTCAACCCCCACGGCCGAAACCCTTGAACCCCAAAGCATCCTGAAGCCCCAGAATTTTTGAAAGCCCTAAACTCTAAATCCTAAACCCCAAAGCATCCTAAAGCCCCAAGTTTTGGAAGCCCTAAACTCTAAAGCCTAAACCCTAAACTCTAAACCCTAAACTCTAAACCCTAAACTCTAAGCCCTAAACTCTAAGCCCTAAACTCTAAACCCTAAACCCCAAATTAGCGGAACCAGGCCTCGCAATCGGTGCGACGGCCGATTGCCACAATGCCATCTTCCGGAAGAGGGAATACCTGCCGGCTTGGAAAAGTGATGTAGGAGCCTTAACAAATAGAATAGGGTTTTGGGGCCCTTTCTAGTATATTTAGAATTTAAATACCTGGTAATGTAGGGGCTTTAACAATTAGAAGAGGGTTTTGAGGCCCATTATAGTATATTTAGAATAAGAAACCACCAGAACAGTGTTGGTAATTCTTCAGGCTTCTATATATTATTCTTAGGGGACTGGCATGGCATAAACCACAACTGCTGTTGTTCTTCGGATGATGGTCAGACTGATACCTGCGAATATCTTGGAGGGATATCTGAAGCTTTGGGATGGAAGTCGAGTGAAAGTCGCCGTCGTCGTCGTAGTCGCGTCGTAGTGGACGTCTGCCTAAACCCTAAATCCTAAACCCTAAGCCCGAAACAAGACAAATGGACCCTCCGAAGCGCCTGCCCACTGCTGAGATCCACCAGGCGTGGCACGCCGGAAGAAGCTGCCTCACAGTCCCACGCACCTAAACCCGAAACCCTAAACCCTGAAGCCTAAACCCTATACCCTAAACCCCTGAACCCCTAAACCCTAAGCCCTCAAATTTAAAACCTCCAGCCCCAGGCATTTTGCGCCTCCTTGGCTTGCAGCACTGCAACTGCCACCTGCCACTCAGGGCTCAGAAGCAAACGGCGCGGCATTGGTATTTTAGAGTATGGTAAATTATGGCATACTTCGCTAGAATATCGTATATTAAAGAAGTTATAGTATGTTATAGTATATGCTGGTCATCCCTAGACACATTGACAGATCTAGGGGCCGAAATAATTACCAATACTGTTTTGGAGGGTTCCTTGATACAATTATAGTATAATTAATGGGCACCACTACCCTCCTATACTATAGAACCCTACTATAGATCCCTTTAAGGAACCCTTTAAGGAATGCTGTAAAGGGAACCCTATTCTAATTAGTAAGGGCCCCATCTTACGACGCAGGCCTCATCGATGCCAGGCTCGGCTTGGACTGCTGCAGACCTTGCTGGCTCGGCCTGACAAGCAGCGCAGGACTTAGGGTTTAGGATTTATAGGGTTTATAGGGTTATAGGGTTATAGGGTTTAGGGTTTGAGTTCACGGGTTTAGGGTTTAGGATGCGCGGCATTCAGTGAGGAGCCAACACTGTCTAAACGAATAAGCCTTCTTGAACTGAACTTAAACTGAACTTCACACTCGCAGCCGCCAGATGGACTTTTGGCTCAGGGAGCAATGCAAAGTCTTTGAGGGATTCAGCCCTCGTTCCTTGTCCTAGCTAAGGGATTCATTGCGATTCCAATAATTAATCAATACCCTGGCCCACAAACCCGCCCTCCTATACTCTGAATACAAAATCGGAATCCGCTGTAGCCGTTGTTGTAGCTCCTTTTCTGACTTAACCAAACTTCAATATTTTGGATCCCAGAAGGTAACCAAGAAAAGCTACAATAGAGATTATAGGAGTGTAGGTATAAAAACTACAATGTAGATTATAGGATTATAGGTACAAGTCAGGATCTCTGTCGCCTGGACCTCCACCATGTCGTCGTCCAAATCTGATTCGACCTCAGCTTCAGGGCACAGGGCTTCTGCAAGGCCTAAAACAAAGGGTTCGGAGTATAGTATTTGTGTAGGTTGTATATGGGTTTTGCATTGTTTGCGCAGGGGTCTAGGTTTGGGGCTGGTCCCGAATATGGTTTGTATAGGCTTTGTATGGGTCTTGCATTTTTTGTCTAGGTCTATAGGAAACTCCAGAAAGTTGGAATATGGCTTCATGGTAGGTAACCCAATAATTTACCATAGAATAGGATAATCATATTCCAACTTTCTGGCTTTTACCTTAGGTTTGGGGTTTGGGCGAAATGAAGGTTCCAGCGGATTCTCGGCTTTGGGGGCTGCAAGGTTTGCCTCGGGCGCGAGATTGCGATTTAGATGAGAAACCCTAAATCCCATGATCTAGGGGCCTGAGTAGTTAGAAGAAGGGGTTTTAGGGCCCATTATACCACAACTATAACAAGGACCCCTCAAAAACAGTGTAGGCGATTATTGAGGCCCCTAGAGTATAAACCGTATAAGCCCCACATAAGCCGATGTCGGGGCTACTTGTCTCGGCATTCTGAGCCGAATCCCGGACTCTTCTTGCGTCAGCTGCAGTAGGGATTTGGGTTTAGGATTTCAGGGTTTAGGTGTATGTGTGTGTGTGTGGGGGGGGGGGTGGGGGTGGGGGTGGTTGTTCGGGTTTAGGGTTTTATTTCTGAGTTCCGGCTTGGGAGGCAGGAAGGCCTCTTCAACTTGCAGTGATCGGCTTTGACTTTGCGGAGGTGCACGGGGTGCCGAGCTACTCGGGAAAAGTACGCCGTAAGCCAACCAAAGCAGCCACACAGACCAGCCTTGTCCAGGTCTCTTAGGCAACAACTCTGGGGCCCGTGCGCGCTCTTTGCTGGTGTCCTGGCCAGCGGTGCTGCGTGTCTTAACATCATCTCCAGAATGGATTCCGGGGTTCTTAAGGTACTTAATCTGAGTTACCATAATAGGGATCTATCGCCAAGGATATCGTTTCCTTATTGTGGTAACTTAAAGTAAACCCTCCACAAGAGCCCAGCTTCCGGGCTGAGGGGCTGTGGGCTCTCAGGATCCGATCGACTGCCCAAGGGTGCCCTGCCTGGGCGAGCCAGGATGGATCGGGCGTCTTGCGGCGGAGGCGGCGCCGGATGGCCGGTGCCTATCGCAGGCTCGGCTGTAGGGGCCTTAATACTTAGAATAGGGTTTTGGGGTATATTCATCATACTAAAATTATCATAATTAGGCTCGGGGCTTCTGGCCCAGAGGGTCCGTATGTACTACCAGTATGGTTCTTGGGACCTGCTTCGATAATAGTAGTGCTTATGGACCGTCTTGGTAGCATGACACCATGAGAATGGGCTGTTGGTCGTGAATAGGTCATATGATTGTACTGAAAACTAGACCCTAAACCTAAACTTAAATTACCATGATAAAGAACCCATAACATGTACTATGGATCCCAATTTGGGTAGCTCAAAGTATATGCGTCAACAAGGACCAACCCAGTTTTTCGGGATCAGGGGCACCCGAGGCGACGTGGGCATAATTGTGCCAAACCCTTGGTTGCAGGACTGGGATTCGAAGGGGGGAAGGGAGGGGCGGGGGTTAGGGTTTCGGGCTAAGCAACACTCGGCACACTTTCTAGTACTTAGAGGTTTCGGGCCTGTTTGGGGTTTAGGCCGCTGTTTCGGATACCGTGCCGCACCGTGCTAGCAGCGAACGCTTGCAAGTGGATGCCATTTCCTTGTCATGGACGATCGCGAGCCTGGGATATGAGCTCTGGCACCATCAGCTGCATTCTGTGTCGAAATAGCGCAAAGACTGCAGGGCAGCTTATCTCCCAGTCGTCCAATGTCCCAGCAGAATCGGCCTGTGAAAACGGAAGCTGCCAGTCGAAGTTCTCCGACGACTTGCCACCAGCATGTCAGCAGGAACGTCGAACCACTGAATTGTTGAAGAATTTCAAAACACCTCGCTCCCAAGTGCTTGAGATTCTGACGTTGTTCGTTACATCATAAACCTCTGTCGTGAATAGCAAATCTGAGCACAATGTGATCCACCTGCTGCTTCCTTCCCGAGCAAAGTAAACATAGCTGCACGTTCCATCCCACTCATCTGCATTTGTCCGCCAACACCCTGAAATTCAAACTCAAAGCACAACACGCTCTAGGGCCCTAGGGAACACTTGGGCAGCCTTGTCGATGAGCACAGCGGCATCCTTCTGGCCGTCAGGCGCCTCCTTGCGAGCACTCGGACGGCACGGACATTCAAAGCGGAAGTGCAGAGAACCCGGGCCCAAACTCAGTACGTGTAAGCCTCCAATCTCCAAACCCCCAGAGCTGATCGAGCAATCTGAAGGCACGCAGTACAACGAAGAGGTCCTCTGACTCTGTCCGTGGACGCACGTTCCGTTCGTCCACATGCTCCTCTTCAGAGGCTGCTTCTTGCGTGAACCGCGTGATTTCGGATTCAGGCCTTGTGCAAGTCTTGCGGGCTTATGGCTACAACATGCCCTTGCTGTGCTTCGTAACAGCCCTGACTTGCGGCAGCAATTACGTGTTGGCCACAAAGTTCAGGGAGCCAGGCGTGGACTCAAATCCAAAATCCAGGATCCTGCTTCGAGTCACCCCAGAAGACTAAATACTGCATCCTCGAAGGCCGGGCGACAACTGCAATCACTAGACCCTCCATACTGTCAAACCTAAAACCTCAGACACCAAATCCAAAAGCTGGCCTCTTCCATCGGGCGCTTGCCCCGTGGCGGAGACGTCGCTGACGGTGCTACACGGCTGAGCCGGACTGTGAAGGAGTACCTTGGCTTCGAGCTTTTGGCCTATTTTTGATACCGCATTGATGCCAGTCATAGTATCGCTCTCTCAGGCTTATTAAAGGGCCCAAGTATCATTTTGGTGTATACTTAGACCCCCAAAATACCCTATAAGTATACACAAGAATGATACTTGGACCCTTTGGGTTCGGATTTAAGAGTCGCAGGCGTGGGGCGGCCACACTAAACCCGAGCGTTGCGGCAGATGTGGTTTGCGGCACCAGCGTTCACAGGACTTCTGGAAGAAATAAACACGATAGGGGCCTTAATAATCATAATTACCTATACTACTTTGTGGGTTATGAACATAGAAAAATACATCCCCAAAACAATATTCTAAATAACATGCCCCTATATGTGGTCGCTCCCGTTGGGATGCTGCTGCAGAATGTCCTCAGATGCAGATGAATCTACAGAAACCAGATGTAGCAAGACCTAAACTCCTAAACCCAAGCTCTCCGGGACATCAGGGACGCTTGGAGCTATATCGTCCTTTTGTGCACAGCACGTGGCCTTAGAAGAACGAATTCGCAGCAGATCACTTTCATCACTACATCCAAGACCAGGTCCTTGAAGCCTTGACTGTGAGTAGGGAAGCCTCGTCGCAGGGTTCAGGGTCTTCCGATGCCTCCACGATGCTTGTTTCTTTCACAACGTAGGAACGTTTGGCAACGTCACAAAACAGGATCTACATCGAGGCGGGGGGGGGGGTGACATTCCCGAGTTTCCGGGAATATGCTCTAGATGCTGCGAAATCGCTTCCAGAGTGCAAAAGGAACATGCCCCGGTTAAAACGAAATACTCATGTTGCACTTCAGGATGCCCGTCGCTGGCTGCTAGCGAAATCGCGTCACCGCCACCTAGTCTTCACACGAGGAGCAGGTTTTCCGAAAGTCCAACAACTCGCCGCAGAAGGTTCGGGAGGGAACCCAGTTACGAGGATTTGTTAGCTGGTCGAAGACTTGTTCCTCCACTTATTCGCACGACGAGCTTTGGGACAGGTAGTCGGAGCCGCTCGTGCTGGGTCATGCTTGTCGTCTTTGCGTGTCGGCTTCTTGTCTGACAGAGTACTTGGAGGATCATGGGACTTAGTAAGTAGGTTATAACTGGGGTTATAAGTCCCCTAAGTGGGGTTATCCTAATTATATCCTACTTACAACCCTACTTACTAAGTCCCAGGATCCTTTAAGTACGCGATTCCCAACACTGGGGATCTGACGAACTTCGGGTTTCGGGTTTAGGGTACAAAAAAATGGGGAGGACTGTTATTTCCAGTTGTAGAGACGCCCATCTTGACCCTGTATAATCACCTGGAAGGGATCCTATCAGCATCCAATGCCGGCTTTTCCAGGGCTCCTTTTGATGACTTCAAACTCTTCCGCTCCGATGGCCTCTACAGCCTGGCCCAAAGGGCCCAAGTATCACCATGGTATATACTTAGACCCCAAAATACCCTTTAAGTATACACCAGAATGATACTTGGACCCTTTGGGTAGAAATCCCCAAGCACTGCAAGCTCCATGCCCAACGGGTAACCCCATGACAAACACCAAAGAGCTCCGGATTGAAACTCAAGGCCGTGGGCCCGGGACGGGACCCGAGACCCTAAAAGCCACATCAAACCCTCAAATCGCGCACAAAAACGTCAAAAGCTAAGCCCCTACGTCAGCCCTACAAAAATGCGAAAGACTCCGCTCAACCCTCCGAGAAACCCTAAACTGAAAGCCTAAACCCGAAAAGAAGTTATATAGGGGCCTTAATGATAGGAATAGGGTTTCGGGGCCAAATGATGAAGACCCCCTACCATAGTAATGATTTGGGCACCTATATTATGGGACCCTCTCCTCTTTAGGGCCCCATATAAATCCCCTTGTACTGAAGCCCAGTAAGGTAGGGATATCCCTGTAAAATGCTTATGCTTATGTCCTTTTTGGGGCCTCTCCTCTTTGATCGTCCAAGCTGAGGTGGCAGCTGAGTCCCAGTTCGCTTCCGCTCTGGATGTGGATGCCATTCACCAAGGTGCCTCCAAGGGGGAAGTTTAGGGTTTAGGGGTTCGGGTTCAGGGTTCCGGAATCAGGGTTCCGGGATCAGGGTTTCAGGTCTGAAGGTGCGAGATTAAGGAACAAGGCCCGGCAATTGCAGCCGAGAAGCACATAACTGGCTTCCGTGGGGATGTGCTTGGGATAAGTGATGTAAAACCCCGACCCTAAACCCCAACCCTAAACCCTAAACCCCAACCCTAAACCCCAACCCTACTAAACCCTAAGGGTTTCAGGTTGACCAGCTTTGCCGGGCCGCCGTTGGAGCTGCCGAGATCGCGGAGGACCAGGGACTCCTGGGCAAGCATACTGTAGGGGCCTTAAGAAATAGAAGAGGGTTCCCTTTGAAGGGCGTTTGGGGCCTCAGTAGCCTTAGTTGGTAGAAGAGAGTGACGTTTTGGATGAAAGGATTCTTTAAAGGGATCACTTCGAGTCTAAGGGAGGCTGCAAGGGCGATTACAAGGGCATCGTCGGACCTGGGACATGAGGCTCTCAGGGTTTAGGGGTTTAGGGCTTGGGGTTTAGGGTTTAGGGTTTAGGGGTTTGGGGATCTTCCGACTTTTGCACTTGAGCCGATGAGTTTGACTTATACCATCTTGGGGCGGGGGGCTCCTCCAGACACTGACTCTGATGTTGATGGAGACAACGGAGCTGACACGAAGGTTCAAATGATAAGTGGCTATGACTAAGACGGTAGGGCCCGGTAGGGATGATGATGATGATGATGACGGTGATGGTGATGGCGGTGATGGCGGTGATGGCGGTGATGGCGGTGATGGCGGTGATGGTGGTGATGGTGGTGGTGGTGGTGGTGGTGATGGTGATGGTGATGGTGAGATGCTGACATCGACCAAACACGAACATGCTTAGCATTATTTCACTGTGCTCCTACTTTTCCCGGCCATCCTCTCACCACCACCACCACCACCACCACCACGACTAATTACTACTGAACCACGACTCTGTCTCGGAACGACACAGCACAAGGATCAAGACAATCTCGGGAGGTCCTTGTCGCCACTTCCTGCCAGGCAGGAGAGCACGCAGTGGCGAGCGCTCACTGCCGGGAGGGAGACGCAAACATCACAACCTGGGACATCTTTGGGTGGCAGAGGCATGGGTGTATGCGGTTTCGGGTGGGGGCTTGGGGTGCACAGCAACGAGACCCCACAAAGGTTCAGACTTGAGACATGGTTACCAAAAGTGGGGACTTCTTGGAAGCCATGCGTCGAGAACCTCATGAGGCCGAGGGATCCTTCCCAAGACGGACTGCAAGAACAGCCCAAACAAATGTTGACACCGACCACTACACGTGCTGACATGCCAGGGCCCTACCCGCTGATTACCACCTGGCCGATGACAACGTTAGTGAAGCCACAACACAAAACAAGCCTGGCGAGATGGTCATGATGATGAATCTAACGTGACCTTCATGATGACGATGACGATGACACTAACAATCATGATGTTGGTGAGGATGACGATGACGACGACGATGGCGATGGTGATGATGATAGTGATGACATACAAGAACCCAGCCACTGCACCAGCACCTTTACTCTTTATGGTCCTCACGCCTGCCCGGAATAAAGCAGAAAGAGCTGCAACAGGGCCTATGCAGCCCAGCTGCTAGGATGACGACCCACCTTAGCTGCGGTACTGGGTTTCAGGTTTTACCTGACTCCAAACAGCGCAAAGCAGATACTAATTTATAGACTTCTGAGGCCAGAGTAAGAACCTTTTTGTATATTTGGAATACGCATATATCGCAGGCCTGCGTGTTTGCTGAAATTCTGCTCGGCACAACACTGGGGACGTCGGGGATCCCATCTTGGGATGTGCCACTTCAGTGGTTATAGATCCCTTATTATATTTAGGGTTTAGGGCCTTTGGGGTTTAGGGTTTAGGGCTTAGGGTTTAGGCCCCGTTTAGGGTGACATGGCTTCTGTGCTGCTTGGCTTGATCGGCCAGGAACAAGCCGCCGCGGCTAACATAGGGGCCTAGATAATTAGCAGTACTACTTTGTGGGTTCCTTGATTTAATAGTAGTATAATGGGTCCCAAAACCCTATTCGAACTATTGACGTCCTTATATTACCACTACCCCAAACCCAAAGACTTGCCCTCAAACCGGAAGCACTAAAGCCAGAATGACAAACCCGTCCCTATCTTCAAGCCTTATGCGAGCCAACGTTTATTTTGTAAAGGAGTCCTAAGTCGCATCTTGCGACATGATGTGCGAGCCTTTATCTCGTCTGCCTCCACACAAGTCTTCACACAGTTGGTTAAATGAGATGATTTCGTTTCGGGATGGAGATAAGGAAGCGCAAGTCTGATATTGGCCTGCGCACTTTCCGCCTCAGATATCTCATCTATCTGCAAGGCTTATGCGGCTTCGGATGAGCTCCACTTTGTGAATGTTCCTGTACACAGGAACGCCGCAAGCTTCTAAAGGATGCTGGGCTACGGTTTGTGGATCTCGCCTGGAACCCAGCAACGCTAGTGCTGATAACGTATATTACAGCATGTTCTAGTATAGTTTAGTAAAGTATTTAACTGAAATGTGATAAAGCAGACCATAGTGTGGCATAGTCTTTGATACTGAAGCAACAATCTGCAATGAGCGGTCGAGAAGCCGGCTCGAGCCCGGAACCAAAAAAGGTAACAAGCTTACATCATACCGTCAACTTTTCAGCACATGTACTGTAACGTGCCGTCCTGTCTCGTTTCTTGTGCGGCCCCGGCCCTATCTCGCCACCGAAGTTAATACTAGTACTGGATGCAAAAACCATAGGGCCCCCCTCGCGGGGGGCGGGGAGTGGGGGGGGGCGGGGGGGGGAGGGGAAATAGATACTGCGATCTATTTCAATATTTTTATGTTTTGGGGGGGGCGGGTTGGGGGGGGGTTTGAGGACTCTCACCGCATACAGCAACATTGCGGATATCGGTCTTTTTGTGCACCCAGTTACTCCTTCCTTGGAAACCATGCAGTAGGGGCCCCGCAGAAGCGCAAATGGGTACTGGGTTAGGGGTCCACTCCACTCTTCCTACTATAGAAGCTAAGAAAACTATAGCGGCGGTGTGGGCCGTCCCTATTTCCAGGGTTCCCCGTAGCCGGACTTGGGTATCCCCTGGGTACTCCTACGTCCTAGGCATTCCCAGATACTCCTTCCTTGGAAACCATGCAGTAAGGGCCCCGCAGAAGCACAAATGGGTACTACTATAGAAGCTAAGAAAACTACTATAGCGGCGGTGCGGGCCGGTACCTATTTCCAGGGTTCCCCGTAGTCGGACTTGGGTATCCCCCAGGTACTCCTATATAAGTACGTTGCAAGCATTCCCAGTTGCTCCTTCCTTGGAAACCATGCAGTAAGGGCCCCGCAGAAGCGCAAATGGGTATTGGTTTAGGGGTCTTAAACTACTATAGCGGCGGTACCTATTTCTGTTTGGACCCGGTACCTATTTCTACCCACTCCCCCACTCTCACGGAAATAGTACCGGAAATAGGTCGCACCCTATGTAACCCTCCCCAGCCAGTACCTTTACGAGGGGGTCCCCATCAAAAACCCTTTGACCGTGTTTGACAGGTTGCCGTGAGCCCGCCCCCGCGGGGCACCAAGGCAATGCGCAGCCCTGCCTTCCGGTGTGGGCTCGGGTCTGAGGCTTTGGGGTTTCGAGCTCGGGGTTTAGGGTTTAGGCCCGTTAGCCCCGTGGGCCCTAAAACCCTAGACGAGGAGCCTCAACCTGAAAACTGCACACATCCGTAGACTGCAGACCAAAAGGGTGCGAACGATTATGAACAGGTGTTGAACAGCGCAGATCGCAACATACTTCTGCAGGCACGATCATAGCACACTTCTACGGCACTATGACGAAGTGAAGTAGTACTCGAGGGCTACGGGGTTTGATTCTTAAAGGCGCTAGGGAGTTTGAGTATGTAGCAGTGACAAGCATCATTACATTGTACTCGAACGAACAGTGTCGTCATCATCGTCATCATCATCACTACCATCATCATCACTGTCATCAAGACACAGACGACCTTCATCTTCACTCTTATCGTCATCGTCATTGCATCGTGACCGTTGGCATGACGCGACAGCCTTGTCGATGAGCTCCCAGCGTTTGACCAGCTCTTCCTGGAACGGCTGGTGGATTGAGGTTGTGAGGTTTCCATTTCGAGTTCAAGGGTCCAGGAAGCACCAACTTCGTGCAACCCTTCTGCCGCTGAGCCCTCAGTACCTCAATTGTGCTCGCTGTGAAAAGCCTCTTCTTGTTGCGTCATCAGGCAAGGACTAGTGGCAATTCGGGACTTCTGAGATCGTGATTTTTCGGTGTTGAGTATAGCGGTTATTAACTGGAACAGGGTCTTGGGCATTGACCAGATGGGGAGATTATAGCTAACCATTCAGAGATTCATACTTTCCCCACAAGAGGCCATGTAAAACCAGAAATAAAGACACATTTACACAAACCCTCTGAAACCCTTGTAAGCCACTCCAACCTCCTGCTTGGTCCCTAGACCCTCAAAATACACCCTACACCCGGAACCGTAAACCCTAAACCACCAAAACAAAAAACCTATCACCCCAAAACCGTAAACCCTAAAACCCCCTAAACCCCAATTCGTGGAGCCCCACCCCCCCACCCCCCCCAAGGTCCTCCTCGTCATCAAACTCCCCGTCGCTCTCCTCAGCTTCCTCATGCTCTTTCCTGGGGAAGCCCCAGGTCGGGGTTTAGGGTTATAGGGTTATAGAGTTTAGGGATCAGGGTTTAGGGTTTAGGGTGGTTTAGGGTTTATAGAAATTGAAAAGGGTAGGGCTATAGGGTTTAGGGATCAGCGTCTTACAGGGTTTTTATCATTCTTTCAAGTTGGTGTTTAACAGATTTAGACGGGCTACACAGGGGCTTTATGAGGTCTTACACGGCCTCTGTACAGGTTTGGGAAGGTCAGTAACTAGGTATTATTACTTATCATGCTGTACAAACCTTCAATACAGGGACTTGGCTCTGTGAAGTCATGCATTTCGCGGAGCAGTGCCCTCAGCAAGCTCGATTACAAGCAAAGCCATACATTGAGGTAACCTCCCCCTACAGCAAGAAACACGTCTTGTTCGTGTCGTCGCTATTTCTTATTACTACCACCATATTTTTGACCAGTATTCTTGCCACCATTACCACGAGCCCTCAAGGTTGCACCGTCCCCGTCTGGAGGCTCCGAGCCTCGGACCTTTTGGGAGAAGGGGCCCTGGGCTGCCAGTACCCGACACGTCGCTTCGGCAGGTTCGAAGCATTGCCTCGGCTCAGGGTGGAGGAAAGGTGTAAGGCCTAGGGTTTGGAGGTTTCGGGTTTCGGTTTGGGGCTTGGGGGGTTTAGGGTTTGGGGGTTCGGGTTTAGGGTTTAGGGTTCGGGTATAGGGTTTGGGGTTTGGGGTTAAGATCAGCGCTTGAAAGTTTCAGATCCCTCGTCGAGATTTGTTGGCGAACAAGACCTCAGAAGCCGTGCGTACTGGAGTCTCTTGGCCCTGATGTAGGAACCTGATTCAGAAACCTTGGGCCTTTATTAGGGTTCACTATATGAATCCTAAAGTATATTGGGGTTATAGGCCCAGGGTTTCTTAATCAGGCTCCTACAATACACCTTCTGAAGACCAACTGAGCTGAGCCCTATCCCTCTGAAAGAGTCGCCGTCTCCAAATCCTACGCAGCTCCATTGTCAAGCCGTTGAGGGTTTGGGGCTGAGGGTTCAGAGCTTTGCGTTCAGGGGTTTAGGGGTTTAGAGTTTAGTTATGGCTTAGGGTAACGAGGATCAAGAATCACAAACACCTGAATCTTTCACCTACACCTTCAATTGTAGTTCCCGATCTTGCCGACCTCGTTTCTAAGTCACGTAGCGAATGACATCTCGAAAAATCAAGCTCCATGTGACTATACTATATGCTTAGGCCTTCAAGGGTTCCTACTTTCAGGCCTAAGTACATAATAGGTACATGGAGCCTTAGGGAAAAACCTTCGGTCCAAGGAAGACGGGCCGCTCACGAGCTGCACTCCGGGCATCGGCGCTTCGAGGCCCAGGGCGGATAAGTCGTGGCCTCCGTCGGCTCCCACTCAGAGGTTCCCAGTTGGGTTTATCGGAATTTCCCTTTTTTGGGGCTCCCCTTTTTGGGAATCATAGTTTAGGCCGCTTCCGTGGGCTTTTTGGTGGAGTTCGATTCTTGCGCCATTTTGGGGGCTCCTTGTGGGGGCTTCCCTTTTTGTGATCCCTCTTGAAGGGTCCCTCAGCAAGCTTGGCTTTATTATGATGAGGGTACGACTGCTAGGCTTCTGTGTCGGGGAGCGGCTTCGGGACGGGCTCAGGGTCAGGCTGAACGGGCTTCAGGGAAACGGGTTTCAAGGCATAGATTGGGTTTTAAGACTTATAAGTCGAGGTGTGATCTATCGGCTCATGATTCCTGCCCCTTTATCAGAACTCCTTCAGTGAACCGAGGCAAACCCAAACAAAAAAAACAACAAAAGCGGACATCTTCGCAGCCCACCCCACAGCACAGACTCTAGGAGGCTAGACCGAACTCGGAGGCTAGATTGAAGGTGCTTATAGCCGACAAGGTCTCGATTCAAACCTATGTTGCAAAACAGAATTTGGCTTTACTACTATAGTAGTAATGGACAAACCATAGGTAGACCAGGTAAGCCATGCTGCGCAATTGAGCTGCCGCATCAATGCTATCCTGGACATGGCATACCGGGCTTCAAGATGCAGTCCCAGTGAATGCCAGCTCCTTCTTTCCCGTGACAGGTAGGACACTCAACCCTAAACCCTAAACCCCCTAAACACTAAAACTCCCATAGGTCATTAGGTTGAGGTTGAACCACGCATAGTATTGGCATCAGAGACAGCAGGAGGAGGAGCTGCTGCTGCTGTTGTTGCTGCTACTACTACTACTACTACTACTACTACTACTACTACTACTACTACCACCGCTAGTACTAGTACTAGTACGACGACGACTACGACCACCGCTACAACTACACAACCACAACCACCACCACCGCCACCACCACCACCACCACCACCACCACCACCACCAGCGACCCTCAACGTCGCAACTAAAGGCCCAAACCTCCAATGCCGAACCTCCAATCTGCAAGCCTAAACGCCAAACCCTGAGCCCTCAGCCCTAGTCCCGAAATCTAGACCCTAAACCCCACACCCTATACCCCTAAACCCCTGAACCCCAATCCCCAACCCTGTGCAGTCCTGCGCGAATTCCCTACCCGCTTCTATGGAGGGCCGGCCCGGAGCATGGATCTCACTCCTTTGGGGGCTCATTGAAGAAGGATCCCTTGAAGGGGGTGTAGGGTTCAGGGTTTAGGGTTTGGGGTTTAGGATTTAGGGTTTAAGGTTTAGGGTTTGGGGTTTAGGGGGCTAATTGAAGGAACGAGCCTGAAAGGATTTAGGGTGTAGGGTTTAGGGTTTTTGAAGCAAATTAAGGAACGAGCCCTTAAAGGGGACCCTCTTGTAAATCCCTATAGAACCCTGAAGGGGTTGAGGGTCTAGGGTTTACCTGAAGAGCTTTACATAATGGGGTGGCTGTGTACAAGTTTTCACATGGAGGTAAAGTTTGTGAAGAACTTGACAGGCATTGACTAGGGACTAGGGTTGTATCGTTCCGTCGGGTACCGGATGGTTTAGGGTTCCGAGTCTACCGACGTTTAGCATTGAGCCGTCCAGGATCAAAACACGGGTGAAGCCGGGCTGAAGGAATGCTTAACATTTTGTGTCCAAAGCCCGGGGTGTAGTACGTCACCTGTGTCACCGCAGATCAGTTCTTCGACATCCAGGATACAAGAATCCTTCTTGTGCATAGTCCTCCTCAAAGCAAGGAGTAGAAATCCAAGCCCCTATATAAGCGCTTAACCCACCTACTCAAGCTCTTCTGTAAGGTCCAAAATCCCTCAACCGAGACCGTCTCTACATGTTGCTGCCGAAAGATTTGAGCCGTAGCTTCGGTGAAGCTCAGGTTGTAAGGCCTACGCTGAATCGAGCCTGACGTCTTTCGGGATTTTGAGGATGCGTATCTCAGGTCATGTTCTTTTACTACCCTAAGCAATACTCTTGGTAGCTACTTCGGCCCCTACATTAACTCGTGGGCCTCGCCACCCCACTCGTCGGAAACGACCAGACAGCACAGATCCGCGGTTCTGATGTAAAGCCAGTGGAAACCCTGAAAGATATGCCAATATGCACGAGCTTGAGAGGATCTCAGCAGTCACCTCTGATGTTTCCTTTGTATGGCGTGTAAACATGCCCGAAAACGCCTGGCCTTTATAGTTGCCATAGACTACACCGTACACCCCAAGCCCCTTGTAGTGCAGACCCTAACCAGACATCTATGGAGCCAAACCCCACGTTTCCGATTCCTGAAACCCCACAGTACAAACAAAAATGCTGCACAACGATACCCTAACCCTAAACCCCTAAACCCCTGAACCTTAAAGCCATAAACCCCTAAACCCTAAACTTAACTCTAAAGTCTAAACCCTTAATTCCTGAAGCCGAGGTGCAGCAGCGCCGTGGCCGCCTGGGCCGTCGTGGCCGGCGACCAATCGCAAAGCAGCGCGCGGGTGGCTTCTCGGAGCTCTGGGGCCTCCGAAGGGCTTCCTACTTGTCGGGTATCATGGGGAACTAAAGGTTAACCTTTTGGGTTATAATTATAGGGACTATATAGGGGTTATACTACCCAAAAAAAGTTAAAGGTTACCTACTCGACTACTAGGGCTTAGGGTTTTAGATTTTAGGGGATTGGGGTTTTAAGGTTCAAGGGTTTTTGGGTTTAGGGCCTGTTTCGGGTTGTGGGTTTAGGTCTTCGGGGGTTCAGTCTTTGGAGGGCTTAGGGGTTAAGATGTGTAGGACTCAGGGTCCGTGAGCAGAGATTAGGGTTTAGGGTTTAGGGTTTAGGGTTTGCCGTAGAATGGCGCATGAGCGGAAGTAGCTTGCGACAGTGTAATTTCGAGTGCATCGTCCTCAGGCGATTCAACGTTTGAGCCTGATTGTGGTTGGCTCTTTATATTCACTCTCCCACCCCACGCCGTCTAAGGCGGCTAAACCACCCAAACCTATTCCTTTTAGGGTTTAGCACCTAAACTCAGTCTACGGTTTTCTTTATTTCTTCAACCTCAGGCGGTGCAAAGCAGGGCAAGGCTCCGAAGTCCCGAAGGGTCTACAGTAGGCCCAGACAAAGAAAGAGTGTGACCTCGATTTGGCCCTAAGAGTAAAATGCATATTTTATGAACGGAATTTATTAAGCGAAAACCAGCCCCAGTTTTCCACATTTCTGGAGGGCGCAGGGGGAGCCAAGAGGCCTCCCTCCCCCATCTGGACCCTTGGCCAGAAACCAGAAAGGGGTCGGGGGACTGGGGCCCCAAACACGAGGGCCAGGGGGGGTCAGGGGGCCCAGGGGGGGCCGGCCTGGGAAAAATTGCAATTTTGTCCGGTCTCCCCCCAGGACCCGCCTGGAGGCCCCTGGGTCCTCGAACTCTGGTTGCTGCAGGCCCCAAGCTCCTTTTGCGGGGTGGTTTTTTGGAGGGGGGCCGTCCTGCATGGTGAGGGGGGACTGTAATTACTTTTTTAGGGAGCGGGCGAGCGTCCTGGATCGACTTGCGCCATCGATGTCGAAGGGCATAAGCGCCGCCCACCATCGAAGGTGGGCGGCCTAGGCCCTGAGTTTAGGGGTTTAGGGTTTAGGGTTTAGGGTTTATAGGGCAGGAAACCCCTCGGGTTTATAGCGCCAAGGGCGTTTGGAGTCCTCGGCTGACGACTAGCACCTCAACAAACATCAGAGGACCAAGCACAAGAGCAATGATTAGATGCACAAAGGGGGAAGTGTCGTCAGGGGAGGAAGAGTCCCAATAAACTCCGTGTAGGCCACTAAAAAGCGGAAGAATATCAACAGTCAGCGCCACGAGCGGAAGAAGACTAATGAGCATCCTCCAAGACGGTGCTGATGTCAACACTGGGAATAAGATCAGACGTCAGTACCCAGAAGGGAGTTTCCAAAAATCTTGGATACCTTATTTTGGGGCCCTGATAATACGGATCCTTCTATTTAGGGTACTATAGTCTATAGTACCCTAAATAGAAGGATCCGTATTATAAGGGCCCCAATAGTAGGGTCCCCTATTTTCGGAAACTCCCAAAGGACCCATGTGCCAATGCCTAACCTCTAAAGCCTGCACCCCAAGCCTCGAAACCTAGCCTTTGGGTCCCCTAAACCCTAAAGCCTAAACACAAAAAAAAAAAACGCACCTAAGGGCTTTACTAATCGCAATGCTGATATACTTATACTAAGTCTAGTGCTCATACTCACACTAATAGTGACACGAGTATTAAACCGAATTCCAATGCACTTACTGAATAGCATATGAATACTGATACCAACTCTACTTGAAATACTAACACTAATGTTGGTTAATACTACTGCGAATACTACGAATAGTTGTTCTAAAAGTCTATTGCTAATCCCTAATCCCTACTCCCCTAACCCTACCTTAGACCCCATAAAGTCGGAAATCGGCTTAAGGCCAAACAAACAGTGCTGGGATTCCACAGTTTTGGGGCTTCTGCCGTAAACCCTGATATTAATCCCTAATCCCTAAACCTCATAACCCTAATCCCTAAACCCTAAACTCCGAAACCCCAAACTCTAATCCCTAATCCCTAAAGCCTAGCCCACTAATACTCCCCAGGCACCAATTTTGGAAAACCCGACCAACCAGGGCCTCCTCCCCAGCCCAGTCGAAAGGTGGTCCACCTGCAAAAGCTTTCGGGCTTTTGAGTTCAGTTTAGGGTTTGGGGTTTTGGGTGTTGAAATTAGTGTTTAGGGTTTGGGGTTTTGACAGTTGGGGTTTAGGGTTTTGAAATTTAGGGTTTAGGGTTTTGGGCTTTGGAGTTAAGGGTTTAGGGTTTGGGGTTTTGGGTGTTGAAATTAGTGTTTATAGAAATTGCTTAGGGTTCAGGTCCGGAGTTTTGACCGGGTTTTGGGCGGGTTTTGCCTGTTGCTTTAAGCCCTTGTTTTGGCTGTTTTGGCAGCCCTTGGGAGAGCCCAAAGTTGATCAAAATCACGAAAATTCGACCAAATTGGATCAAAATCACGATTTCCCAAATCCGCAAGATAAGCCCAAAAGCCCTTGTTTTTGCCATTTTGCCAGCCCTTGAGAAAGCCCAATTTGGCTCAAAATCACGAAAATTGGCTATTTGGCGATTTCCCAGAATCCGCAAAATGTGCCTAAAAGCCCTTATTTTAGCTATTTTGGCAGCCCTTCGGAAAGCCCAAATTGGCTCAAAATCACGAAAATTGGCCATTTGGCGATTTCCCAAAATCCGCAAAACATGCAAAAAAGCCCTTATGTTGGCCATTTTGGCAGCCCTTCGGAAAGCCCAAATTGGCTCAAAATCACGAATATTTGCCATTTGGCGATTTCCCAAATCCGCAAAATTGGCCAAAAAGCCCTTATTTTTGCTATTTTGGTCCTTGGGAAAGCCCAAATTGGCTCAAAATCACGAAAATTGGCTATTTGGCGATTTTCCAAATCCGCAAAAAAGGCCAAAAAGCCCTTATTTTGACTATTTTGGCAGCCCTTCGAAAAGCTCAAATTGGCTCAAAATCACGAAAATTGGCAATTTGGCGAATTCCCAAATCCGCAACATATGCCAAAAAGCCCTTGTTTTGCTATTTTGGCAGCCTTGGGAAAGCCCAAATTGCATCAAAATTTGGCGATGTCCCAAAATCAGCAAAACCGGCCAAAAGCCCTTGTTTTTGCCATTCTGGTGCCTAGGGGAAGCATAAAGTGGCACCGGACACACGAACGCGGAGACAGATTCCCGGAAGCACAATCCCAGTCGAAGCACTGCGGAAACACCTTTGTTTCTTCAACTTTCGTTTCTGTGCTTGCATTCTGTTCGTGAAACGTTGAAAGCACAGCAAAATTGATGGGGCCACGCACGTCAAATCAAACAATTTCTATTTATCCTGGTCTTGAGGGTTTAGGGTTTTGGGTTTCGACATTTGGGGCTTAGGGTTTTGAAATTTAGGGTTTAGGGTTTTGGGCTTTGGAGTTAAGGGTTTAGGGTTTGGGGTCTTGGATTTTGGATTTTAGGGTTTAGGGTTTTGGAGTTAGAGGGCTCTGTAGGAACCTTTGCAAGGACTGTACATATCATCAGACAGCTACAACATGAGGCTTTTTGGCTTCGAGCTTGGGATTTAATGGGATTTGGGCTTGCTTGGAAGCGCCGGGGATTCAAACCAGGTGACGACCGGACTGTTGATTGGGCGATTACTGACAAGCAAAAGGGGAATGTCACTCTTGATGGTCATCCGCAGAATCCAGCATTTCAGGAAACTGAAACCCCACACCCCAAACCCTGCCAAAGCCTTCCGCAGCCACGACCAAGCCGGCCGCTAAAACTTCCGTCATTGCCTTGGCCTCCTTGGTGGGATTCTGGGGCTTCGGGGCTTGGGGCTGAGAGTCTTCGACACACCAAAGCAGAAAACCATCATTCTTGCTGCTTGCTGTGGGGCACCCTACACCCCAAAGCCTAAGCATTGACAGTTTTTTCAGGGCTTCCGCCGGATTGTACGAAAGTCTTTCCGGGATCTGGGCTTCAGCTTTGAGCTCCGTTGGTCTAGGGTAAACGTAGACCCCGGATTCATGAAGACCTTGCTTCAAAGTCCCCAATATCAGAATCCCTTTTGTAATCCCTATTTGATGGGAGACAGGCTTACTAATCGTGAGGTCTACATTACTACAGTACGAAATCTAAACTCCTCTTGCGCCCGGAGATCCTGGCCTCAGGCATATGAGTGGTTGTCAAAATTAGGGTCCCTTTTTGGGTCCCTGTTATAGTACGGCACCTAATATTTAGGGTACCCAAAAATCCCAATATTGACAACCACCCATATATTAAATATCACCCCTGTTCAACACCGTGACGCTCACATTACTGGAAACAGGATCCGAGGAGGACGCATTGAATACTAGGCTGATGATGGAGGCGATTGCAGCAGTTGTGCTATGTATATTGGAAGCATCGTACTACTACTACTACTACTACTACTACTACTACTACTACTACTACTACTACTACTACTACTACTACTACTACTACTACTACTACTACTACTACTACTACTACTACTACTACTTCTACTACTACTACTACTACTACTACTACTACTACTACTACTACTTCTACTACTACTTCTACTACTTCTACTACTACTACTACTACTACTACTACTACTACTACTACTACTACTACTGCTACTGTCATACCACCACTGTCACTGTCGCTGCCACCGCCACAACTACTACAACAGTACCAATACCGGACCGCCATTACTACCATTACCACTACCACCCACCCTTCACCACTCTTCGCAATCTAGGTGGTTTCAGGCCGGGGTCCACGTGCGGTCCGCTGAGCAAGGCTCCGGCCACAGCCCTCATGACCTCGGCAGTCGAAGCGAAACTCAACGAATTCTCCGAGACAGCCGGATGCAGACTGACCCAAAGACTGCACAGGAGAACAACCAATGGAAAGCCCCCTAAACTCCACACCCAAACCTGAATCCTAAACTGCCCTCAACCCTCAACCGACCCTGACCTGAACCCCAAAACCCCAAACCCTACCTGGACCCTATAAAACCTCCCTTTCTAAGATTCCCTATCATGATTGCTTCTACAAGTCCTCAAAAAAGGTAGGTTATTTGGGTCCTAGGTAGACCCCAAAAAGGGGGCCCAGAGCCGACCAGGGAAGAAACCATGGCCTGCAGCTGCATCGCCACGGCGTCCGCGCCGAAAGACTGCAGGGCAGCCTCGTGGTTAGTTACAGGGTTGAGGGTTTAGGGTTTAGGGTTTATAGAAATTGCTTAGGGTTCAGGTCCGGAGTTTTGACCGGGTTTTGGGCGGGTTTTGCCTTTTGCTTTAAGCCCTTGTTTTGGCTGTTTTGGCAGCCCTTGGGAGAGCCCAAAGTTGATCAAAATCACGAAAATTCGACCAAATTGGATCAAAATCACGATTTCCCAAATCCGCAAGATAAGCCCAAAAGCCCTTGTTTTTGCCATTTTGCCAGCCCTTGAGAAAGCCCAATTTGGCTCAAAATCACGAAAATTGGCTATTTGGCGATTTCCCAGAATCCGCAAAATGTGCCAAAAAGCCCTTATTTTAGCTATTTTGGCAGCCCTTCGGAAAGCCCAAATTGGCTCAAAATCACGAAAATTGGCCATTTGGCGATTTCCCAAAATCCGCAAAACATGCAAAAAAGCCCTTATGTTGGCCATTTTGGCAGCCCTTCGGAAAGCCCAAATTGGCTCAAAATCACGAATATTTGCCATTTGGCGATTTCCCAAATCCGCAAAATAGGCCAAAAAGCCCTTATTTTTGCTATTTTGGTCCTTGGGAAAGCCCAAATTGGCTCAAAATCACGAAAATTGGCTATTTGGCGATTTTCCAAATCCGCAAAAAAGGCCAAAAAGCCCTTATTTTGACTATTTTGGCAGCCCTTCGAAAAGCTCAAATTGGCTCAAAATCACGAAAATTGGCTATTTGGCGAATTCCCAAATCCGCAACATATGCCAAAAAGCCCTTGTTTTGCTATTTTGGCAGCCTTGGGAAAGCCCAAATTGCATCAAAATTTGGCGATGTCCCAAAATCAGCAAAACCGGCCAAAAGCCCTTGTTTTTGCCATTCTGGTGCCTAGGGGAAGCATAAAGTGGCACCGGACACACGAACGCGGAGACAGATTCCCGGAAGCACAATCCCAGTCGAAGCACTGCGGAAACACCTTTGTTTCTTCAACTTTCGTTTCTGTGCTTGCATTCTGTTCGTGAAACGTTGAAAGCACAGCAAAATTGATGGGGCCACGCACGTCAAATCAAACAATTTCTATTTATCCTGGTCTTGAGGGTTTAGGGTTCAGGGTTTTGGGTTGAGGGTTTTGGGTTTAGGGTTTAGGGTTCAGGGTTCAGGGTTTAGGGTTTAGGGTTTGGGGTTTAGGGATTTGGGTTTAGGGTTTAGGGGGGCCACTAATTAGAATAAAGAATAACTAGAACAGAGTTCCCTTTCAAGGGTTCGTTAAAGGGATCTATACTCCACTACTTGGGGTTTTAGGGTTTAGGATTTTAGGGTTTTGGGTTTTAAGATTTAGGATTTTAGGGTTTAGGGGCTCAGGGTTAAGGTTCACCTTTTAGAATCCTTTTATGAGAACCCCATAAGAACCCTTTTAGAACCCCTTTATAAGAACCCTTGTAGAACCCTTTATAAGAACCCCCGTAGAGACCACCATTGTAAAGTACCCTTCGCTGCGAGGCCTTGGCATCCCGCAGCCGGGCTCCCACGAAGCGCACCGCGCGCAGCGCGGAGGGCAGAGGCGTGGGCTTGGAGCCTGGGATGCCCCCACAACACCTAGGTGTCCTTTAACAGAGCCCTTGATGGTCCTTAAAGATGGGTATTTCAGGTGTGTTACAGGGTAGTTGGGGGGGTCTGGGACAGGGCTCCGATCGAGGTTTTGGGGTTTTTGGGGTTCAGGGCTTGGGGGTTTAGGGTTTATACTCTACTCTAGCATCCCTTGTAGTGTCTAAATCGAAACCACACATCCCTGGAATAGGGATTCAGAGCTCAGGGCTTTAGGGTTTTGGTTGCTCTGAGCCCGGAGCACAGCACTGGGGTTGAGCTTCTTTCACAAGGGTCCCTTGTGGTCATAGCTGCACAAAGAAGCCTCCCCAAGTAGACCTTGGGGCCTCAAGATGTTAGAGCATAGTCAGAGCGCTTACCAAGGAACCCTGAGGCGAAGGACTACTGATGGTAATCACTCAAGGCTTCTATGCTGATACTGGTAGAGGAACCTGATTAAGAAGCCGTGGATCTACTATTCTGGGGTTTCGTGCCAGGGTTTCTAAATCAGGTTCCTACATTATCCGTCTCAACCTTCAGGTTCGCCAAGGGTTTAGGGTTTAGGGTTAGGGGTTTAGGGTTTAGGGTTTAGGGGTTTAGGGGTTTAGGGTTTAGGGGTTTAAGGCTTAGGGGTTTAAGGCTTAGGGTTTATAGGGTTTAGGGTTTAGGGTTAGGGGTTTAGGGTTTAGGGGCTTCAGGCTTAGGGTTTATAGGGTTTAGGGTTTAGGGTTAGGGGTTTAGGGTTTAGGGGTTTAAGGCTTAGGGTTTATAGGGTTTGAGGGTTTAGGGTTCTGGCGTCCTCTCAGGCAAGACGCTGTCGCTGGCTCCCGGGGCATACATCCGAGTCGCGAAGAATGCCTCCCCACTTTTAAGATTTTGGGTAACTGACCCAGAGGGTCCAAATATTATATAATACAACTACAGTGAAATTATTGAAATTATGTAGGTCCCTAGAACCATAATAAGGATGGTCTCCTGGGGCTTAACTCCAGAATGGTAGGTGTATATGGACCCTCTAGGCTAGGACTGACGAAGCACCAACCTAGCTCAAAATGACTACGCAAGCCAAGGAAATCCTGCTGGCGCAATGCGGCAAGAGTCAGCGGAGCCAATCGCCAGGCCTACCCAACATCTTTTTAGGGGAACACGAAACATTCCAAAACCGAGAGCAATACAAGAAAGGAAGGAATTCATATCGATGCATTGCCAATTTGCAAACCCTCCAACCCCCGCGCCCCTCCCGCCCGAGCCCCCAAACTACCCCCAAGAGAGTAAAACCCCAACCATCTCTAGAGACCCTCAACCCTTAACCCTAAAGCTCAAGAATAAACCTAAGAAACCGCTCAGGCTCGAAAGCACATCTGACCTCTGCGGCGGCGACCAGGAGTCCGGCGTGGAAGGCCGACAACGTCCTGGGACTGAACCTAAACGGTTTCGGCCTTAAAACCTCGAACCTAGACTTCGCATTAGCATAGGTTTTGGGGGCCATCATACCATAGTTATAATAAGGCACCCCCAAAATAGTATAGGTATTTATTTAGGGGTACAGGGTACCTTCCTGGAGGTCCCTTCTTATTAGGAACCTCCCGACTGTCTGCACTGGCCCCGAACGCGAAACGAGTTTTCGGGGACAGAGGTGCTAAACCTGAAAACTGTGTTTTGTTATACGTGCGTACATATATATATATATATATATATATGCCTTATAGTGAAACATATGACATATTATAGTATATCATATTACAAGACAGTATATATAATATCGTGCAGAATGTTACAACACTGTATAATACACCATATAATATTGTGATACAACTTACAAAATACATCGGTAACATAGCATGTAACATAATAATATGATATAGCGTGAGATGATACAACATTATATGGTACAACACACCGTACAACACAACACACAACATAACGCAACACACAACAGCACACAATACCATTTTTTGCAAGATAGTACCATATAACATCACAAGGCATAACAGGAATAATGTGATGAAATATGTAACGGCGTATACAAGAACGATATGCTAACATTGGCATTTCATATCATGTCATGTGATACAGCATCATATAATACAGTATAATGAGACATCATATTATGTAACATAATATACTTCCATTCAATATAACACAACATCATATAGAATCAGATAATATAATACAACAGAACAAAATCGAAAAGAATATATACCATGCAAAGGGAGTTAGCACATAAGACAACTGTATATAGTGCCTTAGTATTAGGCAATGTATCGTGATAGAACATGATCCAACAAGCTACAAAAGCATCGAACAACCCAGAATACCAAAAAAACAACAAAAACAACATAGAGTAAACCACAATATGACAGAATAAGATATGACAGAGAGCAGTGAATAGAACCTAATACAACCGAACATGCAGTACTGGCATACCACAGCAAAACAGAGTATGATACAATAAAGTAGAATAGAGTACGAGATCGCGCAGCAAGGTCTGGCATAATGCAGTATAACATCATATACTGCGAATGCAAAGGCCGTCTATCATACGAGGAAGACTGGTAATGATCAAAACATGGCAGTGTCATGCTCTGAGAATTGATCTGCCGGCGCCCTTAAACCTAGCTCCAAGATGCAAGGCCTCACCCCAAAAACGATGAACAAAAACAACAAAACTTTCAAAAAACCGCCAGGCTCGAAGTTGAGGGTTAAGGAACTACGGGTCAGGTTTGGTTGAAGGGTTGTGCGTACATACACCAGGTTCAGGGAAAACGGGGACATAGCTATTCATATACCAGGCCGAGAACGGTATTCTGATTTGTTGGGCCCTTTTGTGGTGTAGACGTGTATGCGCCGCAATAAATAATTAGAACAGGGCTTTGGGTGTATTATATAGTATAGCCATACAAAGACTATCAGGGGATAGTGTTACTATAAATATTATGCACCTATTCCGGCCCCTCCCTCTAGGTTCCTGCGTAGCCCCATTATAATAAGGGTAACTTTTTCCTACTATTCGGTTTTAATAAAGGGGAAGCCAAAAGGAAAAAGGGCAAAAGGGTACTACTCAGGAACCTAGTAAACTCAAACTCTGAAGCCTAAACCTTAAACCCTGAAATCGGCCCCTCTTGTAGTGCAGCAACGCGGCGGCAGCGTGACAAAGAAGCGCACCAGGCGGGCGGACAGCACTGCCCTGTCCTCCGAAGACAAGAAAGGCCGGAGCTAAGGCTTCCTCTCACGCGTCCAACCTATATATATATATATATATATACATATATATATACATACATATATATATATATATATATATTCTATACATGTATATATATATATATATTGCAACTATGCGTATACATGTATGTATATGTATATATATATATATATAAATATTATATGTGTGTGCTGTGTGTACTTATATATATATATATACATATCTATATGTGTGCGTGTATGTAGAGAGACAGAAAGTTGCCTTAGTAATTCGAATCAGACGTTGGGATACGATATGGAACACTTGTGTCGTAATCAGGAACCCTAACGAAACCTGTTGTAAGGCCGCCGCACTAGGCTTCGTTGAGGTTCCCGAAGCTCCGGCCACTCAATACATAACATAATCGCTATATATATATATATATATATATATATATACACACATATATATATATATGTATGCATGCATGTATGTATATGTACATATATATATATATGCATATGTGTGTGTGTGTAGCCACACACACACACACCCATACATATCTATACACACATACACACACAATAAGATATGTAATATATAATATGTAGCTTTAAACATGTGATAAGCCGAATGTAATACATAGTGTAGTGTATATGGCATTCAGTATGTACAAAGCACAACAGAATAGACAATATGATGTGTAAACATGTTAATACCTGGATATGTGTAAGGATTATGTGAGTTAACAACAGTGTATCATCTATACATACATACATACATACATAAAAACATATAACACATGCCATACAAAACAAAACAAAGTATCAACCATAACATGTAATATGCAGTCTACAATCTCTACTACAATGTGTGCATACATATATAATGTAAGTGTCACAGTTTGACAACAATACACAATACACCTTCTGTACTACATTAGATCTATATAGATTTTTACTGAATAAACATGTACAAACATACAATGTGCGGTGCAAAGCATAGGCAAACACAACATAAGCAGTGTAATACATGGTCGATTAAATATAACATAACGGCATGTGTATATATGTCCCAAAAGGACCAAACTAAACCTCAGAGGAACTTCTACCAAACTCCAGGCCGTTCACAGAACAAACATTCAACGCAAAAAGCACTATGCAACCAATTGTAAACAAGCTGAATAAAGGAGAGAAAAGACAAGGCTTCACAGACTCCCGACACGTTTGTCCAACACACATGAACAGCTGATTGATTGACATGTTCGGGAGATCATCAGGTGGATCTTGTCCGAGTGCCGTTTATGCAACACTGTTGTGTTGCCTGGCAACTTGGCAAAGCCGAGCTGAACTCTTCAAAGTCGAGTCCAAATCTGCGGGTGCAGCATGCTGGGTGCAAAAGCTGGAACGGCATCGCCCCAGTGCAAACAAAGGCTTCCATCAAGGTTGGCGGCCTCACCTTAAAAGATGTGAGGCGCCGCCAAGCAAATGAACCCATTAAATTCTTGCCTGCTTTGCTTCATGACACGGGAAAAGGCATGGACGACTAATTAGGCTGACGAACACATTTGCGGGAAGGAGGCCTCTTACCACAAGAGCCAAGCGCGAAACATCCGTTAGCTAGCAGGCTTAGTGTCAGCACGACACAAGGGCTCAGATATCATGCAGACAATCACTACAGCTCAGACTGCTTCACAAAGCAGTGGCATCTTCAAGCCACGAACTTCCTTCTTGGCCCGGGCCAGGAAGTGCTTTACGAGGATGCCCATGGCGAAAACAACGAGAAAGAGAAGCCAAATGCCCGCCGCAAACGGCATCTGCTGCATCTCCCGCGGCTCTTTGTCCTAAGTTCGTATTCCCCTTCACAATAAGGGCAGCCTTTCTCCTACTCTACCGTTCAAGAAAAAGACCCCAACATACAAACGACAAAAGGGTACTCCTGGAAGACTTAGCTTCCAAAGTCGCCAGGGCGTCAATCGCTGCGGCGTTACCTTTCTTCCGCTCCTGCTGACAAAACTCCTCCGGCTTGGTCTCCACGAAAATGTACTTGACACACATGTAAACTGCCTTCATGCACACGTCGGCCGGATACTTGGCGAAGCAGTTAGCAGTTTGGGTATTAAAACAAAATGATGGTCCGCACTGCTTCTCCGACGGGCTTTCCATCGGAAAGCTTAGCAGCTCTCCTCTTAAATCAGCCGCCGCCCTCACAGTCAGAAGGAACGCAAGAACGAGTCTTGCCATGGCGGCAGGAGGAGTAAACCCACGTCTCTTTCCAGGCCTTCTCAGGTCTTTCAGCCAGTGGCCATGCACGCAGTACAAGCGTGAAGCCTTCACTCAAGCCGCAAAGTTTTTGAATGCCTCTGCTTAAACATGTTACTTGGGATTTGGGATTTAACTTATAATAAGGAACCACCAAAATAGTATCGGATATTATTTTACAATATAAAGCGCTAGATTTTGCACCAAACCTCAACCGCAAGTCCTGAACCCTAGGCCAGAAACTGTTCCCGGTAATCTCATCCTTATGGACCTGGAGCCTGAAAAACCCTCTATACCGTATCCTAGAGCCTAAACCCCAAACCCTGCAGCGCAGACTCCCGACAGGTTTGTCCAACACACATGAACACTTGACATGTTCGGGACCATCATCAGGTGGATCTTGTCCGACTGCCGTTGATGCAACACTGTTGTGTTGCCTGGCAACTTGGCAAAGCCGAGCTGAACTCTTCCAAGTCGAGTCCAAATCCGCGGGTGCAGCATGCTGGGTGCAAAAGCTGGAACGGCACCGTCCCAGTGCAAAAAGTCTATCGCAAAGGCTTCCATCAAGGTTGGCGGCCTCACGTTAAAAGATGTGAGGTGCCGCCAAGCAAATGAACCCATTAAATTCTTGCCTGCTTTGCTTCGTGACAGGGGGAATAACACGCACGACTAGGCTGACGAACATATTTGCGGGAAGGAGGCCTCTTACCATAAGAGCCAAGCGCGAAACATCCGTTAGCTAGCAGGCTTAGTGTCAGCACGACACGAGGGCTCAGAGATCATGCAAGCAATCACTACAGCTCAGACTGCTTCACAAAGCAGTGGCATCTTCAAGCCACGAACTTCCTTCTTGGGCCGGGCCAGTAAGTGCTTTACGAGGATGCCCATGGCGAAAACAACGAGAAAGAGAAGCCAAATGCCCTCCGCAAACGGCATCTGCTGCATCTCTCGCGGCTCTTTGTCCTAAGTTCGTATCCCCTTCACAATAAGGGCACCATTTCTCCTACTCTACCGTTCAGGAAAGAGACCCCAAAATACAAACGACAAAAGGGTACTCCTGGAAGACTTAGCTTCCAAAGTCGCCAGGGCGTCAATCGCTGCGGCGTTACCTTTCTTCCGCTCCTGCTGACAAAACTCCTCCGGCTTGGTCTCCACGAAAATGTACTTGACACACATGTAAACTGCCTTCATGCACACGTCGGCCGGATATTTGGCGAAGCAGTTAGCAGTTTCGGAGAAGCAGTGCGGACCATCATTTTGTTTCAATACACTATTGAAACAAAATGATGGTCCGCACTGCTTCTCCGACGGGCTTTCCATCGGAGAGCTTAGCAGCTCTCCTCTTAAATCAGCCGCCGCCCTCACAGTCAGAAGGAACGCAAGAACGAGTCTTGCCATGGCGGCAGGAGGAGTAAACCCACGTCTCTTTCCAGGCCTTCTCAGGTCTTTCAGCCAGCGGCCATGCACGCAGTACAAGCGTGAAGCCTTCACTCAAGCCGCAAAGTTTTTGAATGCCTCTGCTTAAACATGTTACTTGGGATTTGGGGCGGGGGGGGGGTTCTCCTAATATAGCTTTTCAAGCACACCATGTATGGAGACGCCTATACGACCTATCCATCTGGGAGGTTCCATCTCGCATTCAGGGTTTTCGTGGCCTGCAGGCTCACAAGTGTAGTATCAAGGCTGCAGGATTGGCCACGTAATGTGGGGGCCTTCACAATTCGAAGAGGGCTTTGGGGACCCTTGTATCATGTTTAATTTATAAGAAGGAACCCCCAAAATAGTATCGGTTATTATTTTACAATATAAAGCGCTAGTTTTTGCACCAAACCTCAACCGCAGGTCCTGAACCCTAGGCCAGAAACTGTTCCAGGTAATCTCATCCTTATGGACCTGGAGCCTGAAAAACCCTCTATACCGTATCCTAGAGCCTAAACCCCAAACCCTGCAGCGCAGACTCCCGACAGGTTTGTCCAACACACATGAACACTTGACATGTTCGGACGATCATCAGGTGGATCTTGTCCGACTGCCGTTTATGCAACACTGTTGTGTTGCCTGGCAACTTGGCAAAGCCGAGCTGAACTCTTCAAAGTCGAGTCCCAATCCGCGGGTGCAGCATGCTGGGTGCAAAAGCTGGAACGGCACCGTGCCAGTGCAAACAAAGGCTTCCATCAAGGTTGGCGGCCTCACCTCAAAAGATGTGAGGTGCCAACGAGCAAACGAGCCCATTGAATTCCTGCCTGCCTTGCTTCATGACAGGGGAATAGCACGCACGACTAGGCTCACGAACATATTCGCGGAAACAGGCCTTTTGCGATAAGAGCTGGCATGAAACATCCGTTAGCTAGCAGGCTTAGTGTCAGCGCGTCACAAGGGTTCAGATTCTTGATGTACTGATTGCTTGCACGATATTTGAAGTTCAGATATCGTGCAAGCCATCAGTACATCAAGAAGGATATCCTCGCTCGGTGGTGGCTGCTTTGTGATTCAGCATTCTTTAGTCGCTGCTTCACAAGGCAGCTGCATCTTCAAGCCACGAATTTCCTTCTTGGGCCAGGCCCAGAAGTGCTTGACAAGGATGCCGATGTCGCAAACAATGAGAAAGAGCCGCCAAATGGCCTCCGCAAACGGCATCGGCTGCATCGCCCGGGGCTCTGTCCTAAGTTCCCCAGCAGCCGTTTTTCTACTGTACCGTCGCAATGAAGAGCCAAAATGAAACAGGGTACTACTGAGAGACTTAGTTTCGGAAGTGGATAGGGTGTCGATCGCTGCGGCGTTGCCTCAAATGCCTGTACGTGTGTTTGCAGGTGTGTGTGTGTGTGTGTGTGTGTGTCCAGTTCAACACGAACATGAACATCACACACACACACAGGGCTTTCATGCACACGTCGGCCGGATGCCTTGAGAAGCAGTTAGCTCTTGGACTGTTGAAGCAAAAGGGCGGTCCGCACTGCTTCTCCGACGGGCTTTCCATCGGAAAGCTTAGCAGCTCTCCCTTTAGATCAGCCGCAGCCCCCGCAGTGAGGAGGAACGCAAGAACGAGTGTTTCCATGGCGACAGGAAGAGAAAACCCGTGTCTCTTTCCAGGCTTTTACAGGTCTTTCAGCCAGACAGTGCAAGCATGAAGTCTTCTCAATAGACTTCACTCAAACCGCAAAGTTCTTGCGGAAATGTTCGACTGTGGTTTTGGGGCGGGGGCTTCTTATACCGTGGTCATACGCGCTTGCACCAAGAACGCAGGCGCCTATACGACCTATCCATCTGGGAACTTCCATGTCGGGTTTAGGGTTTCGTGGTGAGTCCATCCGTCCCTGCACTGATCGGGCCTCTGCAGCCTTGCCGGCGTCTGTTGACTCCTGAGACGTGCATCTTGCTTCGCTCGAGGACAGGATGCTACTTGTGACTCCGAAATGAGATATTCTAGTATGTTATAGTAAAGTACACTATCGTATACTAAAGTAAAGCATAGTATGTTATAATACGTCATGACCACCATGGTCACAGCAGCAGTATCTGGAGTGCCGCGTGGTTTATACAAACAACGGCGATTGACGACTGGTGGTGGACTCATCATACCACCACAACCGCCGTCATCAGCAGGACGATGACACCGAGCCCTGGCCACTGCTCCTGCTCCTGCTCCTACTGCCACATTGACGACGGTCGCCAGCCAAAGACGACGCGGCATCACGACAGCAACTCTACTACTACAGCTACTTACTAGTTCTGATTCTGCTTCCACCACCGCCACGACCACCACTGCCATCGCCGCCTATGAACCACGGAATCCGAAGCCCTTGCCCCATCCTCGTCGTCCATAGAGTCGTCCTCTGCGTCGTGCGCAATCTGCGGTGCTGGAAGGCCCAAAGCCAGGTAAGCCTCGCAAGCGAAAAGCAAGAACTCGAAGGCTCGAAGCTCAGAATACATTTTTTGGGGTGGGGGACGGAGTATATTGTTGCTGTAGTTAATTGCAGGCCGTTTGGACCTTAATTACTATAGCCATAGTTGGTAAGGAACCGTTTGAACCCTAGGAGTAAGTCGATAATACTGGGGCCTCAATAATTAGATTAGGGTTTGGGGGTATTTTATACTATAATCAACTATAATAATCATAGTATTAAAGAACACCACCATAGTACTTGGGTATGTAGGCCCCTATATTAACCTAACATCCCAGAGACTCCGAAACCCCTTAATTAAGGAGTATACCTTAAATTATACTGAGATCCTTAATATGATTAAGATATATTACTTAACTAAGGGGTTTTGCAGTCTCCGGGATTCCCCTGCCAAGCCCACCTTCTCCGGCGCGGGAGCTGCTACGGCCGTTTTGGCCTCTGCGCCAACGGCGCGCACGGGCGGCGCCGATGCAGAGACCTTCCACCGGCATTCGAATAGGGGGTTGGGGCCCATGAAACCATAAAAGAGTCAGGAACGGCCAAAATAGTTTCCGTAACTAATGAGGCCCCTACTATAGGATTTGGGGTACAGGGTTCAGGGTACGGCATGGAGGGATTTGGAGCTTCAAGACATTGAGACAATTTGAAATCCTACCTGGAGGCAGGCATCCCCGTTTCATCCCTACAACAGTCTACAGAACACGGCTTACGAAACTTACTGAATCAGTCAAAAAACAACCTCAACCCCTAAACCCTACCTGGACTCCATATAATCCCAGGTTACCTAATATATATATATATATATATATATGATTTTTTTTGCGTCCTTGAAAAGGTAGGTGGTTAAGGCAGGGCATCAAGTCAGGGCTTTGGGGCTGAAGGCAGATCTCCTTGCGGCTGTAAGCTTTATGACATGCCCAGAGACTCCAATACCCCTTAATTAAGGAATATACCTTAAATTATAGTAGGATCCTTAATATGATTTAAGGAATATTCCTTAATTAAGGGGTATTGGAGTCTCTGGGTGGTCTTGGAGCAGTCCGAGATCCGAAAATCTTCCATCCCCAAGCAAGCGGGGGCTAGGGTTTAGGGTTTAGGGTCCTAAACCCTAAACCCTGCTCTACGGGAGCCGTGATGGGCCAAAAGGTTAAGGCCTGGGGTTTTGAACTTGGGGTTGAAATCTAGGGCAGAAGTTAGGATTTTGGACTTACGCCTTACGGCTTGGGGGTTAGGTTCAGAAGCTGCGTGGCTCATCCTGCAGCCTTGATGATACGCGAGTTCCCGAAAATTTCGGGTAACTTATTTTGGGGTCGTTATAGTAAGGATCCTGCTATTTAGGGCACCCTATTTTCGGAAACTCCCATATACACCTGGGAGACTGCAGACCAAGGACAACTGCACGCGTCCTTGACAAGTGAAGACGGAAAACAAGATGTTTCATAGGAGTTCAAGGTTTACGTGGCTTTACGGGGACAGGACTTTATTTTACCACACAGATAGTGCCATTGAACCCTGAAGACTGAAAATTTATTTGTTGATCGGACATCGGAACCCAAAGTGGGATACTGGGCAACCACCGTCTTCATCCGAAGAGGGAATCTTCAAGCAGGGCAGAAAACTGTGCTCAGAATGCCTCGCAACACTTGTTTGGACAATAACCACAAGGCCTAAAGCAAGCTACGCCTGTCCTAACTCCCGGAACATCCCTAAACCAAACACCCTAAGCTCAAGAGCCATTCCTGCATACTCCGTAAGCCTGTGAGACAGAGTTCAAGGTTTAGGGTGGCCTAAACTTCCTCGGCAGTAACAGGGTTTAGGGTTTAGGGTAGGTGCCCCAAACGCCTGAAGGTTTACAATCCCGCCGGGGTACTGTTAACTCACCGTCGACGCATCGGAATCCTGGCCCGCCTCGCGCAAGAGCCTGCCCAGCAGCCACGCAGCCGCGGCGCCTCTTTGTCAGAGACTCCAAACCCCCAGTTCAGGAATATACCTTAAATCATATTAAGGATCCCATTTCCTAAGGTACATTCCTTGATGAAGTGGTTTTGGAATGTCTGGGTTGTCGGATGCGAGGGAGTGGGAGTTCGGGGTTCGGGGGATCGCAGGGGTGTAGGAAAAACTATACTGAACTTAGAACCCTAGCAAAAATTGTAATTTTAGCTGTTTCTTAGGGATTATAATAACCAAAAACTAAAGATTATTTCTAAGTACCCCTAAGAAAAGGGCTTACAGTCTGACTTGAGGGTTCGAGGTGCTAGGTTCAGTAGATTCTTGTGGGGATTGGGGTTCAGACTTCAGATGCGCTTGGGGTAAAGAGGGTTCAGGTGTTAGGCTTTAGGGTTTAGGGATTCTAGGCATGTTTACGGATACTCTTTACCCCCAAAAACTTAACGTTTTTGCGGACTTCTGCAATGAGGAAAGCATAATAAGGAACCATAGAAAAGAAGGTTCTTAGGGGTTCAGGAGTAGCCAAATACTGCTCTTCCGCTCTCTGGGGCGCCCGTGGGCAAGCTTACGCTACGCAGCGCAGACTTGCTTGCCCTGCTTGACATCCCTTGGACCTTATTATACACTAGTTCTATAGCATAGTATGGTATGGCAGTAGAGTAGTATAGTATGGTACAGTATAGTAAAGTAGAGAAAAGTGCAGTACAGTAGTATAGTAGTCTAATGTGGTATAGTATCGCATCGTAGCGCATGGTAGAGCTTAGTGTAGTCTCTACCGCAGGTAAATAAGCATGACCCAGGCGACCACCGGACTTCAAGCCAACAGCCGCCCCCACAAGAAGGCTAGGATCGAAAGCTTGAGCCCAGACCTTCGAATTGCAGGCCTCAGGCCTTGCCGAAACCCTAAATCCCACACTCAACATTCAGGAATGCACCGGCGCCACCTTCCGCGATCCCCCAGAGAAGCAGGCTGCAGCAACGATCCTGCAGGCAAGGAGCCCTACGCCCTGAACCGGAATAACGTAATTTGCTGAACCCTGAGGCTGTAATTTACTATACTAGACTATACGACCATACTATAATGATAATAGCACCACAGTATACTATAAAATACTATAACGTGCCCCGTCAGGGATCCTGGCTGCAGTATACAAGATGTATACAAGCACAGTGTGGCACAGTTTAACACAGCTTGTATTGGTGTCCTTAGAAGGAACCCTCAGTTAGATCTTTGTGTTGCTTCCGCATGGACATGAATGCCAAGAAAGACGGACAAACCACGCCGCCCTCCAGCCCGGATTTGATTCCGCTACAAGCACCCTAAACCCTATCTGGCAACCTAATTCAGAAACCTCGAGGCTTTAGTACTAGGGTTCTTCCATGTATCCTAAACTTCTGGTGTTCCAGGCCAAGGTTTCTTAATCAGGTTACGAAGCTAAGCCCGAACCCCAAACCAGGAAACTCTTTCGTCCTGCAACCTCCTCCCAACTCGGCTGAGCCCTTCACCAAAAGCAGGGGACCCTAATATAGTACCCTAAATAATAGGATCCTTATTATAGGGACCCAAAAATGAGGTACCCTAATTTTCGGAAACTCCCAGCTGAGCCCGGCACCAAAAGCAGGGAGCGGACGCGACTCGCGGACTGAAGAGAGTCCAACATGCGCAGAGTCCTTGACGGCTTTGTGTTTAGGGCTCAGGGTCTTTGTGGCTTAGGGCCTTGTTACGGCCCCTATGCTAAACCCTTTTTGAGCCCGAAAAACAACCCTCATTGGCCTTGGGGGGCCCAAAACCCTACAATAAATCGGCTCTTTGGGGCTTCAGAGCTTCGGGGGCTATATTGTAGTGCCCTTATAGATCCCTGTTGACGTTCGGGCTCATCATGAGCGTTGGGGTTCTGCATGCCTTCAGCTGCCATGGTTGTAGTCGTCAACGAAGTGTTCAGGATCAATTCACAGAACAGGGAGAAACCATGGGCTCACAACTGATTATTTTTCGCACGCTAAAACACAGTCGGAGATAACCGTCCTCAGGACTGGATGTTGTGCCTGCTCAAGCTAGGCTCATACGACTAGTGTTCGCTTGGCTTCTGCCGATCATGGCGGAGCTCAGCTCTGCCTGAGCCATCAAGGCTTTAGCGGACGTGTTGGCCTTCAGAGACTTCAACACTCCTCCTCAGCTGCATCATCCAATTTTGGATGGAAAGCTGTTAATCCCTTCCGTCCCGCAAAGCCTGAAGGCAATACCGACAAATCATCCTATCCTGTACTGATGCCGTATTCCTTAGCGCGTGGCAGGATCGGAAGAGATGCAACGCTCCTGGGGATCTACTTGTAGTGGTCATCACGTGGAGCTCACACAACTCATTGAAGGTGAAACCTTGATCAAAAGTAGTTTGCGTAGACGCATCCTTAGCAGTCTTGACCTGACTCTCTAAACCACTATTCGGGACAGAGGATCGAGTCTCTAAGACGGCCGGAAAGGGTGCAGGTGGCGGTTCAACCGCCGAAAATCCAGATAGTCCAGAAAATCCATGAGTTGGATCGATCGGGATGGATACCGAGCTGCTAGAGGGCAGCGGTGGCGGAGGTGGAGGTAAGTCCAGGACTGATAGCTGAGGCCGCGTCTCAACTTGCACTCTAACGTAGGGGGCGTCTGGTCGTGGCGCCTGGTAGGCCTCGACCTCCTGAGCTGCCACATTCCTTTGCCTTAACCCCTCTTCTTGCAGCTCACGAGCTATAACCCTACGGACCTGCTCCTGCCTACGCTCCCTTCGGGTTGTAGCTTCCGGCTCACCTACATCAGGGTCTGCATGAACCATTCTTATTGCCGCTGGCTCACGTTGCCGACAGCATGAGCTCACACAGTACCTGCCTGACTCCCAAAGGAACAGTATTGACATAACCAGCAGCACTACCAAAAGCGAAAGCTCTAAACCCAAAGGCTCAGACTCAAGATCCTCATTCGGGGCGGCTTTACTGACATCAGCCTGCAGCAACAACAGCACGGCGACCAACCATAACCCTACCCTATTATCACCCAAAGGCTCCCTTTGTACTCGACTCTGAGAAGAGGCTTGGCTCGGGATTTCCTCAGAGGGCTCCAGGCTTCCTTGTAAGACTGACACATCTGTCTCAACCCTGGATACCTGCGAAACCGACGGCTTAGGGCTGGGAGGTCCTAAACCCAAGAGCTTACATAGGTCATCAAGGCGGGTCTTCATTAGGGCTTTGGTCAAGCAGTCGGCTAACTGAACATCTCCCGGGCAATGCGAGACGTCAATTTCCTTCCGGTCAATCATGTCTCGTATAAAGGCTGACCGAACCCGCAAATGCCGCGTTCGCTGGCTGCCTTCACCGCCTGCCAATGTCACCGCAGCAGTATTGTCAATCATCAAATGCTTGCAACACGGGCCCTCTTCAAGTTCAGAAATCAAAGCTTCTAATGACTGTGCTAGCACAACTCCTTCGCAACCAGACACCAGCTCTGATTCAGCAGTGCTTAATGTCACAATGCTCTGCCGCTTCGACTTCCAAACCACACAGCATTCGTCATACATAAGTGCTATTCCGCTGATTGAGTGGCTCCCATGCGGCGCGAAAGACGCGTCTGTGAAGATCCTAAGTCCTTCTGCCTTCCCTGGAACTAACACGAGTCTATGGGACTTGGTGTTTGCCAGGTACTCGAGGGTTCTTAGTCCTATCTTCAAGACCTGCTTAGGAAACCGGGCCACCCAGCTTGCCATCAGGCCCACGCAATAGCTGATATCCACTCTGGACCTCTGAGCCACCCAGAGCAGTTCTCCCGTGATTCGTTGTGAAGCTCGCAGCTCCGCCTCTGAAAACTCCTCCTGCTGGGGAAGCTCACGCACCCACTCCTTGGGCACCGGTGACGTCGCACGAGGGTTGGGCTTCACATCATGGTTTCGCAAGAGCTCCGCAATGTAGGACTCCTGAGCCAGACTGTACCCCACAAGGTCACCATCATCATTCTCCTCTGCGTAGATATCCACACCAAGAAACCGCAGTGGATCTGAAACAGTCGCCTCCTTCAGTCCAGTGCATTCCCAGGATTGCCTTAGCCAATCAATGAATGACCGTGCGACCTCTGGCTCCGTCAAAAGTAGCATGTCGTCCACATACACCAGCAAGTGTCCGATGCAAAGACCATTCTCGTGTCTCATTCGCCAAACATTGCTTTCAGAGGAAAATTGTTCCAGCGTAACCTTCCCTAGCGGGGTGTCCCACTCCGCCCTTGTAAGGAAGTCATCTCTAAACAGAGACCACCAGCGCGGACTTTCTCTGAATCCGTACAATGCCTTGTCTATGATCCACAACTCGTCTTCCCGTGCCAGGCCAAGCTCAATCAACAGACGTGGCGGGCGCATCGCATAGCGCTTCGTGACCCCATCTGGGATCGAAGCAAGGAGGAAAGCAGATTTCACATCAAGCCCATACGCCCTACGACCACGCCTCGCCGAGTGAGCAAGTAGTGCTCGAAGGGACTCTGCCCCAGCACCACCAGCATAGAGCTGGGACTCGGCTGTTGTCTTTGCATAGTTTCCACACGACACGATGCGGAATTTCCTTTTGTAAGGCTCTCCAGGTTTTACCGTACAGACCGGTTTTCCCGGAATGATCTCGTAGTCTGAACTTCTCAATATAGCTCGGGCCTCGCCACCGTAAAACTTGCGTATGACACCCATAGCCTCAAACGTGCTCAGCTCAGCCTGAGCTGCTGGTCGCCACTTCGCCAAGTTTTGACGAACTTCAGCTGGAGCAACGTTATGCGTCACCTCCAGTGGGCCTTCCAGCCTGGACAGAAGATCCTCAACATTTGGTGTAAAACCTCCCTCGTCAACTCGCTGGATCATTGGGTCAGTCTGCTTTGCACCGGGTCTTACACTCAGGCTCCCTAGTGGGTCTATGGTAGGAACTCCTATGGATGCTCTGGGACCCTGGGTTTCCCGGCGGCTTGGTTCTAGACTCTCAGCCAACGACTTGGGGTCACTGTACTTATCGTCACTAAGGAGAGTGCCAGGACGAACCACCATGCATCTATAATCCTGAGACGACTGTGGTGAGGATGAATCCGTCGGATCTGCACTAGTCTCCTCCGGGATATCATCACTGCCTACGGCTGGGACACTGGACTGAACTTCAGATGGGGAAAGAACATCAGGCTGAGAACTTGAAGCAGCACCCGTGCTGGGTATCCACTCCTCATCTCCCCACATCTCTTGCATATACATCACATGATTGTAATCGAACCTGGTTGAAGCACCAGCACTGGGTTGTGACTCTCCCGGGTTGTTACAAGTTGGGACTAAACCCGACTGTGGCGAGGATGAATCCGTTGGATCTGCACCAGGTGTCTCCTCAGGGACATCCCAGCGGACCGTTCTGCGAGACTCCTCCTGGGACTTCAATGTCCTACGTAGGGCGTCCGGTTGCTTGATGCCTAAAGAAGGCAGTGGGGGACCAGGGCACCTAACACCCAAAGTTCGGTTCTGAAAAATCCAAGGGATCTGCCTATTGGTCCTATCGAAGACACGAACCTCCCCAGTAGTCAGACTAGAATTCTGCGGATTATCGGGTCTTCTCGTCCCGGGCGGGTGTATCCCTTGCATCGTTCTGACTGCCAACCACTCTGGAATGCCATGCTCAATCAGATCTTCGACAAACAGAAACTGAAGATCATTTGGGACCTCAATTCCCAGGGCTCTCAACTGACGGTACACCTGCTGGGCACCCCTTACTGTTAAGTAATCAACCAACTCAACATTCTGAAGAGCTTCATGGGGTCTGTCTCCAGGATTCCCTGAGCTAAAGTCCCAACCAATCAACGGAGAGCTAGCATCTGGCTGCAAGTCATTGGTCAATGGTTCCTGCACGGTCAGGGGCCCGGGGTCCTCATCGGACTGTGGGCTCCCTTCAAGCAACCTTGCCTCCTCGATCTGCCTCCGTAGCTCATTCGAATCAATGCTCGATTCCGACATGTCCTCAGAGCTCGTTGACAACGCCTGAACACGATACTTGCCTTCATCCCTAAGTGGCGGAGCGGTGGTCCTGCTGTCCGCCTGACCTGGTTGGCACTCACTCTGAGCCTGACCCTGGAACCCCGTAAGGTACGGCATCGGAAATTCGTAGGCCTCCAAGATTGCTACGCTACCCTGCGGAAGCTTCCCGGTACCCAATGGAGTATAGCCCACTATCAACCAATTCTGGTGCATTCGCACTGCATGATGTTGGCGCGCATTGAAAGCCACAGGGACCTCAGTGAGGACTCGGGTCTCCTGGGAACACCAAGTTGGATTCGGCAGACCTCCACCCTTCACTCGAGCAGATCCTTCGGGCTCGACCCATAGTTGGACCTCTCCCGGAACATGCATGACAAAGTTTAGTGTGCCCCACTCATTCCTCCAATCCCGGTGCACCTCTACATCCCCTGCACGCATCAACATCAACGCTGACCATGTGGGTCTAACCCCTTCACAAACACTGACGCGGGAAGCCAGGACCGTGTTCAACAGCCTGGTGGTCCAAGGCTTCCTCTTGGTCAAAGCAGTGACTCCTCTCAGGCCACCATGACAATACGCGCCCAGGACGTACTTTCCTTCAGCGATCCCTCTCCTGTCTCCTGTGCTCTCCTCCTCCTGAGCAAAGGCACTCAA